ATATATATATGCTCGAGCGAGAGCACCTAACGCCTATGCCTATAACGATCATAAGCACATGTAACTGACAGCATGTATCGCTGCTTTATTATCATCTGCTAAAAAGGTCTTGCAATCTTATTTCTTGAATTCATCTGCATTGCACATGAAACCTTGTAAGCTCAATTCTCAAAAGGTGAGTATCGTGATCTTGCTCCTGCATAATTGGATCCGTGGGATGTCAGTGTGTTTCACTTCACCACAGCGTCGTAATCAAATTGATATCATTCAAGCTAAGTCGGATAATTAACTCAGGTGTCATATTCTCTACCACCTACCCCCCACCCAGCACTCCTGGGAATCTATCTGATGAACGAGAGAGAACTGTTAATCGAACACTGTGTAAGAAGACTTTAGAAGCTTCCTATGGTAGGATAGGAGGAAGAAAGAAGCTTTACGGGAAGGGATAACAATAATGTGGACTTCTTTTTGTGTTTTTATTCGAACCATAAACAACTTTAGGGACTTAATATCTAATGCCACACTTTTATTGTTCCTGTGGCAATCACAAGAACTCGAAACGGCCCAAAGTTGCAGTCACAAACAATTTAGTGAAGTCTAGTACAGGACAAATCTTTTGCGGCATCTATTGCCAGTTATCAATCAGGAGACCCTGTCGTTTGACACAGCTAAGAATCCACCAGTCGAAAGTTTTGAGTCAGGAACTCGTCTATCATTTAACTCAACAATAAAAGTTTTTGTGGCATGAAATGGAAGTAGTGCAGAGTGACTAAAAATGATATCAGTGGTGTGTCATCTACAGAAGATTAGTGATACCAGGGATAGCATATTACCACAATAAGACTGTCTTTTGACACAAAGCTAAGAATCTACAAGTAAAAAGTAAGGCCAATGTTCTTCATGAATCAAATTCCAACAAAGTTTTACCAGTCAGGAAGAACTCATTAATGTCTATAACATTTGTCCCACAACAACAAAAGTATTTGTGGCTTGAAATAGCAGTGTAGTGCAGAGTGGCGAATACTAGTTGTATGTCAACTACAGAAGATCACTGATGCTAGGATAGCATATTACCATACCAGTTATGTACTCAATGCCCCTTCAGGTTTCGTTTAATGGAACCTCTGGTTTTGGAAGAGTCCGAGCGTGGCTGAGACCTCATCCTTCCTGAGTCATGTGGTCGCTCAGTTGATGGAAGCACCCATCCTCTTGTGTGCTTTTGACTGCTGTTGTTACCACTCCCTACACGACCACACATGGATATAGAGTTAAACATCATTGGGTTAATATGGCAGAGCAATTAAGCCATGCAAAAACAAACTAAAAGATTATTAGGCTTTTCTGTTAAAAAAGAAACAGTCACAAAGAAAGGAGTCAATTTCAAAGGGTCAGTATGACTGATGCATTAATCAAGGTTGACAAAAGCAAAATCCTAAAAGGAATAAGTTGTTTGCAACCAAAGAGCCCACAAGTAGCAGTGGCCAACAAATGCATAGGCCACAGAAAATTGTTATAAATGAGGTTGTTTGGATTCTGCATATATAGTTGCTCTTTAACTAAAGAACAGGAATGGCAACTGGTCTTCAAAGGCATAGAAGCAAGCAGAAGTTGTGCAAACTGTAAAGGAGGTAAGAAGCAACACGAGGTAATGAGTGAGAGGAGAGAAATATCAAAATACAAACTTTACCTTAACCCTAAAAATGTGACATGTAGTATTTTGAATTGTAAGTCTGTATGAGGGTTTAGTTTCATATGCACATGTTGCAAGTGACTTAGAGACAAGCAAATGCTTGCAAATGTATTAACTACCAGAAGAAAAACTTACAGGCAGTTCACTTGCAGGGAACCAAACACCCCGTAGTGAATGCTTAAAGTGAGAGACTTAAAAAAGGCACACATAAGTGAAGCAAGGTGTACTTATTTTCAAGCATCAAAGAAAAAGGAAGAGCAATTCTAGAGTCCACGTATTCCAAAATCCAGTCCATGGTCAAGCAAGAAACAACTGGTGGATATTGATGGCCAGGCAAGCGGTAGCAATGGCTGTCACCATGCTACTGCTTTTGCCAAGCAAGATGAGCAGCTTTTGCCACCAAGCCAAGAAAGGAGCAGCCACTGCTTCAGTTGACCACTGCAGTTGCCAGCATCCCAAGTGACACTAATCTAGCATCCTGAAAGGTGGGAGGAAAAAGAAGAGAAATAGGAACAATTAATAAAAATTTTGCTCATCATTGTAACCCATCCACAGAATATCAACTGGCCACCTTTGGAACCAGCAGATCATGGATTGCCAATTATTTTCTCCTGATACTGAATTACGACCTTGTTGTTGTTGTTGTTATTGTACACAGGATACTGTCAATTTTGAAACAGGAATTGATGTATGGGTTCACAGATGGGTCAACCAGGGGCATTAAGTGTACAGTGGTTGCTTGATACTGTTATGAATGTACAGTTGCAACGGCTTTGCCTAGATGCATTAGAAGAGGCTTTGGCTCACATTAAACTCACCCAAGTGCATAGGTGAGCCAAGCATATGCCTGATTTAACACAGGTATATCATGTTAATCCTGAACCAACTCAACAGACAGCGCCCTTGCTAAAACCTTTGCAGAACAAAGATTTCATCGTGAAGCCATTCAAATTCTAAGCATAAGAAAATCATTGTATTAGTCACAGTGATGAAAAAGATCATTTTATCAAATATTTTATTGACACTTCTTTTTGGTGTTTTGTATTGACAATCACCTACCAGTCGACCACCAAAACCATACTGTCGAATAATAGTGCATGCGGCCACCACCAATCCATTATCAAACAGAAGCTGAGTAGGATCTTACAACATACTGCATAGACTATTCTATGCACCACATCAGAGGCCATCATAACCCTTAAAAGCAACCAAATTTCAACTAAATTAAGTTCTTCGGTGAAAATATACAGGATAATATATTCTCTTAGGAAAATTTCCAAGTTCATCCTGGAAACAAATTAGAGGAACATTGGTATTCTCTTCATCCAGCTTTTGTGCATTTGAGTGCAGCATGCTTTTATGATAATGAAGTAACTCATACTACAAGAGAAAGTATAAAATGTCATTGAGAACTAAAATTAAAAGAAAGGAGCAATGTAAAAACGTGCATCATCTGACATTTCACTCGTTCTTGAAAATTCTTCACTTGTACAAAAGATTTTGCTGATTGACTAACCTAGTTCATCATGGAAACAAAGTAGAGAAGCCTTGGGTTTTTTTTTCCAATAGATTCTATGCAATTGAGTGCAGGAAAGCTACTGTGATACTGGAGCAACTCATATTTGGCCAATTGACATTGACTAGAGCAAGAACATTACAATTGAAAAGTATGGACAAATGTCATTGAACACATTACATACTAGTTTTCGAAGATCTTCACTAGTCCGTAGGTTTTATCTTATGTCTAATCTCTTAATTTACTACCTATCTAGAGCAGAACCAATATTCATCAAAATCCAATGGGATTTCAAATTTTATACTGCTCCACTAGCATTCCTTCCTATTTGGAACTCCCAATTAACGTGACCACATGCACATAGACATGGAAGTATGGTGCTGATATTATGTGAACAAGACTTAAGAGAAAAAGTTTAACGTTACAGTAAAACCGATCATAAGAAAGGAACTTCTCTACCCTCAGAATTAGACAATCTACAACAACCCCAATGCACCATGGGCATTGCTAAACTACCATGAAGATTAAAATTTTCTATGTAACATGCCCTAGCTAATTTAACAATCTCATCAAAAATTGAAAATACTATTTTAACAATGTTACTTTCGTATAGGGCATGCCATTCTATTAGGGAGAGGTATACAGCTACACAAAGATGCATGACAAAAAACCTTTTTACAAATTATATTTTTAGAAAGTACGAAGATCAACCTAAACTAGTATGTCTTGATGCAACATAGTGACTTTTCATTTGAACTTCATTCAACTAGCCCCCTAGAATTTGGTGTCTCTTGTTAAACCTCTGCATTTCATTTTTTTTTCCTTTTGTTCTTCCTCTTCCAGAACTACTATCAACTCCTCTTCATCACTTTATATGGTGTCTTCCTTGCACTTCTCCTCGACATAGGCTAATACTGCTATTGTTGTCTTCATCTATTTCTATTATAATTTTGACTATTATTGTGTTATCCATGATGTCAATAAAAAGTTAACTATATATCCAACACATTTAGAATGTTCTATCGAAACATAAAAGAAACCCATATAACTAGAAACCCAAAGAGCTAAGGGATGATAGGGCAATATAGCATATGAGGCTCTTACCGATCTGGGCCCAAGAGGATCACCCTTGCAAGCAAAGATGTTGTTTCTATAACTCTAAATATTGGGCACCAAGTCCTCGAAAGGTGCAATTTTACAATAGTGCTAAGGCTCATTAACGCATGGAGACAAACGGCTATTGCCCAATAATATCAGAGTATGGTAAATCCAATTGATGCAAATGACAAGTGCATGGCATGACAAACCAAAATCTCAAGGACTTGATCATCCAGAGGAATGGTTGGAGATATTGGACATCAGAATACTCCAGAACTATATTTTACTCAAGGGAGCCACTATGTGTTTAGAGGTTATGATCAGGCACAAAACATACATATATCATCATTGGTGGAGCCCTGCAACATGATGTGGAAGCCATGCGAAGAAATTGCAACATGACTTTCCTTCAAGGGAAAGGACCTACTTTGAGAACACATGCAGCAGTGTGAACTAGCTAATCAAAAGGGGCAAGGAAATGACAGTTAGCAGGACTCAACTAGCTAACAAGTGCATCGGATATTTTGTATTGAACACACATCAATACCAATGCAAAATTAACAAAAACTATCCAACAACAAGAACTTAATGGGAAGTAGTTCTTTATTATGAAATCCAACATAACACCTAGTACATAAACCAAGAAGAAGCCACAAAATTATATGTTAATATGCTCTCATATATTTATTTTCTCACTTCATGCAGGATATTAACCATAGTGCTCCATGAATAACAATATACAGAAGACCACAACATATTGTAACTGGCTACATAATCAAATGCAGAAAAATCATTCAATATAGTTCAGTCTTAAGTTAGTTAATCCGAAAAATAACTACTTACTTAAGTTCCGATCATCAAGCAAATCAAGTCCTGGCTTCCATCCAGGCAAGTGTTGTTTAGCATTCCCCTTCCAGTCTTCCTCGAAAACAGGCAGCTCATCTGATGGTTTAAAGCAAATTGCAGTTAAATGAAATAAACAAAGAATATAATCATCCTCTTAGCTGCAGCACAAAATTGTGCCAGACCTTCATTCAAATTATGTAATGTCTGTAGTGTGTCTACCCTCCCATCTGAATTTAGTTTTCTTGTTAGTGAGTGACCCTACAAAGACGATGAAAAGGGTGCCTTAAGTAATATAGCATATAAACTACATTTAACAAAAAATGATTCATTATAATCAAGTATCTCGAAAGTATATTTAATGTGAAAAATAATCTATGTTCATATGTACTTTGTCACGGATCCCTCGAGAAATCCTGTGTGTAGCTCTACCGGTAGTAGTATCGGCCTCCTTGTTCTCCTCCATAACAAACTGTCATAGTCAAGAAGGGAGGTAGTACTAATATAAATAATCAGAAGATCATTACAGTCATGCAATGTTCCAAACAAATTTACAAAAACAAAAAAAATAGTGCATTAGTTCACTAAGCCTGATTACTCACTCCATCACCACCCATTCTCCTTGTAGTAGATGAAGTGTAATATGCTCCATTTGGACCACCATAAGTCACTGTTGAGCTCTGGAAAGTAATAGAGTGACTATGTGATTGCATCCTATCAGACTGGTTGAAGTTGTTCACATATTGCATACGCCTTCTCTTATTTGCTGCAAAAACCAAACCTTCTCAGGAATCTTGCACCGCTTAGAAATATTATCATTTTGAACCCTACAACTACTATGAAAAAGGGAACCAACAGATAAGTCTATACACCTTCAACTACTTCATCAGGATCCTGAACATACGGCTCTTTGCTTGTTCTAGAATGTTTTCTTGGGTTCTCTTTCTGCTCCTTGTCAGTCTCTTCTCCTCCATTATCATCATCAGACAGTTCTTGAATGATCGGACCCTTTGACTTATTGACATAAGGAGCCTGCTCCAAGAACCCAACTCTACTGGTCTCTCCAAAAACGCTCCCTCGATCAGCAAACATGCTGGGACCAAACATGCTTGGTCGGAACATGCTAAGGCCCATCAAGCTTCCAAAAGGCTGCGTGAAGAAAGGGTCATCGAAGGGATCTCTCCCACCAAAAAAGCCAGAAATCAGACTCCCTGGTCTGCTGAGGCCACCAGATCCAGCAAATGGATCCCCAAAACCAAAGAAGTCACCCATACCGCCTCTGCCATTCTGCATATTCTCTGAACATAAATCTGAACACATGGGAAAAAACCGAGACTGTTCAAGAAAATGTAAATGTTACACTAAACAAAAGGAAAAACGCGATCGATGAGAGAAACGAAACAAGATCTTTTTTGTTTTCCCAACATATTGGTTGAATCGATTAAAACCATGACAGAACAAACCAATTGCATAAAAATCGAAAATGTCAAACCCAATAATTCGGCTTTATCCATTATCCATATGTGACATTTCTCCAAAATCCATTCTCAAAGCCCATTTATTCAGTTATCAAGCAGGCAGAATACCAACAAAACCAAGTGATACAAGAACACGTCAATAGGGAACCAACAGAAACGAGAAAAACGGAAAAAAAAAAAAAAAAAGTGTTTTCAAAGATGATCAATAGATCAAAATACTACATTTTTCATACCGACTAAACGAAAACCAAAACACCAGCAACCAAATCCAAATAGACCGAACTCCTAACCCACATCGAATGGAAAGCCAAAGTACCCTAACAGCAGATCCGAATCGAGGGTAGAAGTCTCGATCAACACTTCCATGGGAACCCTAGAAAACGTTTGGGTACACGATCCGAGGAAAACAGATTAAAAAAAAAAGGAGAATGAAGAAAATTACGGACCCCGAGAGATCGAATCGGAGCGACGTGGCCACCGGTGGCGGCCAACTCGATCGGCAAGCCTCGGAGATCGTAATCGAGCGCCCGATCTGTGGGAGACTCGGGAGCGATCGACGACGAAGACGAGAGGTTTCCGCGTCGTCTTATAACTGGAGCAGGAAGCAACTTAATGGAACCGACAGAATAAGAAAAAAAAAAAAACATTCATTATATTTATTATAGTATTACAAAGGGCGATTTTATTTTTTTTCAAAAAAATACTTTCTATTATTTCTCAAATAGTATTCCTAATTTTTATAATATTTTTATTTAACTTATTTATATTTTTTTAATAATATTATAATATTTGATTAAGTTATTAAAAATATTAAAAATAATATATTATTATACATATTATATCTCTTTAGTTGTGATTGCTCGTACACCATTATAATATAAAATTTTTAGACTTTAATTGATTTGATTGAGATTATGGATCTATTTATATCATCTATATTATTTTTGTTAAATACTGTAGTAGATCAAATCACTATAACAAGCTAAAATACTATAATTGATTAAAAAAAGTATCATTAAGTTGGTGAGAAGTATTTTGGATATTATTTAAAACAAGAGACACCATTTGAGAAAATTAAAAACAAGAGATATTTTTGGGAATTTTTTTTCTAGGAAATTACCCTATTATAAATGACCAATTTCTTGTATTTTTAGCAAATAATACTCCTCATTACTAAAATGGGTAGTGGGATCCATCGTTTATTCAAAAATACTATAATGGAGTAATGTCCAATTTTTTTTCTATTATCATCCTTTAACAACAAATAAACATATATATATTAAAGATTTTCCAAAGTAAATTCCTAAACTTAGAATTAGGCAAAAAAATTAAAAATTTAAAATATATCAAAACCTTTATAATTTTTATCCAAATATACTCAAGTTCTCGTTCAAATAACTTTATAATACCTCCAATTGAATAATGAAGTTGATAATTATATTAATTTTTAATATTTTTCAATAAACTTATTGTCTTCGTTTCATAATCAAAGACATAGTAAATCAATTTGATTTACTACTAAATTGATCTAACCAAGTCAATCTAATTAGATTTTCAATGAAAAATCTAAAACATAGATGTTGTAAGTTTATCATTTCCGGAAAAAAAAAAGAAAGAGGTAAGACTGTCTTTAGGCATATGAAAATAGGATAAATTATTCGTAAAAAAATCTAAATAGTTGAAGTTCTAAGTATATTTTGTACATACACAAATTCTAAATATTAATGATAAATCATTAATGTTTTTTCTTAATATACATAAGCTAAGTGTTCACTTAATATCCTAAGCAAAACGAGTGAAACAAGCAAAAAGGGAAAGCAAGAGCCAACTACACATTCACAATAATTTATTACCATTATTTTTTAAAAAAATATTATATGAAATAATGTATTTGATGCTCACAAGTGTATTCAAAGCTGAGATTTATCATTTGTGTAACAAATACATTAATTAACCTATATGTCTCAATAAAGATATTACCATTAACTTGTTGACATAACAAATAACATCAAACTTTCTATGTTTTAATTGCAGTAGTCTCACTCTACATTTCCATGCAACAACATTTAATATAAGTTCTTGACATCTATTAAATTAAAAAATATAAATAAAAAATAAAGATTGACAAGAAAGATTCGATAAAGGACAAAAGCTAGTGCTTCCACTACGATAAAGACGGATATTAAAAGAGAAACAGCAAAGAGTACCTTACAGAGAAGGCGAAACAAAAACTAAGATAAGTTTCATGTACATTCATGATCAGTCTCTATTTATTAAATTTTTATGATAACACATAGGTATTAGATATCGACAGTACTTATCATATTTGTAATTCGTTATAGATTTTGGTAATACCTAGGAGATTGGCAAGAGGCGAAATGGACCTCAAGATAAACAACGGAGCAAAAGTTGTTACAACGACTATTGGTGAGGTCACCCTACATCTGTCTAGTGGAGCTACTATTACATTGGATTTATGTTATTTTTTCCTTCTATTATCAAAAATATTATTTTTATTTTATGTTTGACAATTAGTAAATATAAATTAGTTTTTGAGAACAATGGTTATTCAGTAATATTGGAAGAAAAAATCATCATAAGAGAAACATTGTATAATGGTTTATTTATGCTAGACACTGTTCCACATATTATAAATACAAGTATGTCTAAGAAGAAATGAGATGAAGTGAACAATGCATACATGTAACCTTGTATGCTAGGTTATATCCACGAGGGAAGGATTCAAAAGTTGCTGAATGATGGATATTTAGATCCATTCGACTATGAGTCATATGCAACTTGTGAATATTATCTTTGAGAGGATTCGAAGAGTATTTTTATTTTCTTTTATATATTCATAATAAAATTTATATGTTTGAAATCTTAAAATTAAGTTCAAAATGCTCTTAATACTACTCAACAAACCCTGGGTTTCGTTTCCTTCCTATTTAGGAATTTTATAATCGCTTCATATATGATTCAATCTTCAAATTTATGATACAATAATCAAACGCTCATTCCACAAAATAAGTAATCAATTCATATGTTAATAACATGGAGAAACCTACAACCTGTAAGCATATAGAGATTTGTTTAGTCTCTAAGAATCAATCCCACACCTCTAACACTATCTTAGATATTGATAATAATATTTAGTCTCACATTGATCGAGATGTAGGAGAATCAAGGATTTGTAAGTCCACCCGATCACCCTTAATTTTAGAGGTATTTTTTGATACTCATGAGTTTCGAAAGGACAAAATCGTAACGACATTTTTAGTACCATCCATTTTTATGTTTGAACCTGATTATAAGTATTTGACAAATATCCTTCAAACTATTATAAAAGTTTTTAGTATGACATATATGTTATAGCTTTGCAAATAAAAAAAAAAAAGAGTATTTTGCTCCATTAAAAGCTTCCTCATTTCGGATCTTCCATATGCCTTTAAATGGGCCGGGTTTAAATATTTAGCCCAAGAAGGCTCTGTTAAATATGGCCCCCTCGGTCGTTGCCTATATAAAGCAACAGACGTTAGGGTTTCCCGTGCTTTCCCCGCGGCCGCCTTCGCTTCCGGAGATCTCAATAGAGAGGCGATCTTAGCAGGTTCGTAATCGAATGCTGAGATGCTTTCTTTTGGTCTTTTAGCAACTTCTAGGGTAATTAGCGACAATCAGTATTACGTGATTCCTGCTGGTTACGATGATCTTGTGCCGCGGATGATTTTTGCGTCCTGCGAACGATTGTTAGGAAAATAAGATCTGAATATGGTGTCATTTATGTTTCTTAAGATCGTAATATTTAGGTTTTGTAATGCTTGTTGATTGGGACCAGCGGCTATAGTGATGTGTCCTCAAGATGGTCGATGAGGAGAAGTAAAACATTAGTTTTAACTTTCTTTGCTAGCTAATCCATCATCCTCCATATATATGAGGTGTACAGTTCGATAAAAAAACCCTATCTTTTTGTCTTCTTAAAGATGCAGTTTACTAGTTGTGTATCAGGTTTGAGGCCAACTATCTATTCTATATTTTCTTAACTTCAGAAAGGGTTGATGAATCGAGGTTGAGACCAACAATTTATTTCCTCAAGATAAAGGAATTGTGGTGATCATCAAAAGATTTTTGTAGAACCTTTTTATATGCTTCTCCAAGTAATAAAATAGAACTTGGATGAGTACCAGAATGTCCATGTTTCATATATCTTGGTTTAACTCTATTCACAATGGTTCACTTCTTGGTGTATAAACTGTGAAGTATGTCATCCTCCATATATGGTACCTTATGTTACTTGACACACAAAAGTCTTAAGAAATTTTAATGTAGAATTGTTGATCTAGTGCTGTTTTTTTTTTGCTAGTATGATGCTGTTGGGTGCAAATTGGATTATCTGTGTCCCATTTATTTTCGCAATCATCCAATTCATTCTTGTTTTTATGTTTTTGAATTTTCTTCATCTTAAGTTTTGCATACCTTCTCTTTGTATCTTATAAAATTTAAATATTGGGGCTAATTTTTGGGACAATCTTGTTTTTTGAAATTGATGTGGTTGATGAAAATATAATTTGTAGAGAAAAATGCTGCTTTCCCTCTAATGCAGAGTTGCTATTAGCCATATGATATCACCATTGATCTCACAGCCCATTTATTTGCTTTCTCAATGGGACATTGTGCCATAATGAGTTTGCAACACCAGTTCCAGTGGCATTTTGCTCACTGTGTCTCTTTGCCTTTAATCTGGTTTTAATTGTCAAGCTGTTCTTCTGGTTTATGTTTATTTTTTTTTAAAAGTTGATTTATGCTGAGCACTTGATCTGATGTAGTCTATTTAACTTGTTTGGTCAGCATGGATACTCAAGCTAAACTTGCAGTTGTGGTGAAAGTGATGGGCCGAACTGGATCTAGAGGTCAGGTAACCCAGGTCAGGGTTAAATTTTTGGATGACCAAAACCGGCTGATCATGAGGAACGTGAAAGGCCCTGTGAGGGAAGGTGACATCCTCACCCTTCTTGAGTCTGAAAGGGAGGCTAGGAGATTACGGTGATGACTTTCATGTCAATGTTGCCTACATTAGTAGGGTAACTCTATTAAGCTACAGATTTGTCCTTCTCTGCCATGGTCTTTCTGGTTCTATGGCATTAGTTTCTATTACTTAGTCGCTTTATTATGAGCTGTATCGAGCCAAGAAACTGTTTTTTCCTCTAATGAGTCATTTAACTCTCAATGTTTGAACATTTTTTATGCTCATGTCATCTCTCTCTCTCTCTCTCTCTCTCTCTCTGTTGCTCTGCTTTTCTATTAAAGATGTTTTTGACTTACCGCACGTTGTGCATTGATGGCAAGTTCTATGTAGATGAGTTAAACATGAACTTCGCATCATGAAGCGTTTATGATGTCTACCGATGCTTATCTGTGGCTTCAGTGGTTGTGTTAAAAAATTATGATTATAAGATGAGGATTTAAATCCTCAATTAAATTGTTGAATCGCCGGTTCTTATTGTTTTTATCAATTAATTGATATAAAGAAAAAAAAGTTTGAAGTGTTGTTTAGAATTCATTTGTGTTTCATTTTTCTTCAGTTAGTTTGGAATCGAATTAAAATTCAAATCGTAATTCTTGATTGTTGATTGTTTTTTGTGTTGTATTGTGATTGTCGATTTTTTGTCGGTTTGAATGGTACTGTGATGTCGGAATTAACGTACATCACATGGTAGTTAAACAATATTAACTATTTTAAATCACCAAGGCACGTTAATGACATGAAATAGATCATCATATCATTAATCTCGTCACTACTAAATAATAAACAGAGCATTGAGTAGGACACACGCATCAAAACCTATAATATTAATCTAATTAGAAAACCAATATATTGATCTCAGATGCTCTCATCACAATCAACCATTTGTGCTACCAATTTGACCTCTACACCACAGATGTCAAAGATATTTATAAATATTTTTTGAAATTTTTATCCATAAATTTCGAAAACTTTAACAGTCAAAAAGGAACTTTATTTATTAAATTGTAATATCCTCTCACACGTGTAAGTTCGATTGGTATATAAAATTAAACTATATATATGGGACAAACTAATTAAAAGGAAAATATTTTACATAAATTATATATAGGTCTATACAAGATTTATTTCATAATTCACTGTGATATTATGGTAATATTTTTGAATTGGACACTACAAATCCCAATAGCTACTTTGAACAGTTAAAAGTGTATCATTAAATTAGTTACGCAGTTCAAGATTCATATACCCACTTTTATCTCACACAGTAATCAGCACATCTGCGGCGGGACCCGTTAGGGGTCCACTGACGGCTTCTCACGTTCAGGGTCCAAGCTGTTCCCAACCATAAGATTCCCGCACCGCGACCTCTTATCAAATAGCGGTTCACCTCCACCGTGTGGATGGCAGAGTAGGCATTCGTCGGTGAGCTCCGACTCTACCCCATGGCTCTTCTCTCCTCCTCCTCACATCGAACCTCTCTGGCTTCTTCCTGCCCTCAATTCTATGCTGCCACCTCCCACGCCGACTCCATCGGCTTCCGACATCGCTCGCGCCTCCCTACTAGACCGAGACCCCCAATCTCCTTCCTTCGGGCCTCCTCCCCGACACACTCTCTCTTAGGCGCCATTCCTCGCAGCCATGGCCGACCTCGCGGAAGATCCCCGCGTTTCTTTGTCTCGGTATGTTCTGCACGTGCATCTCCCTGAAAATGCTCGATTTTGAATTGCCCAAATTCGATTCTTTCACATGTGACGTACATCGGTTTGCTAGTGCGGATAATTATCAGGAAATGCATATTTAGTTCTTGATGTTCTGCTGCGTTCAAAATCATCTTTTTCAGTTTTTATATGATTTGAATGCGTTAAGAAAATTGGATTGATCGGTTTTAAGGGGATTGAGATGACCGAGTATGACCTTCAATTTCATTGCTTAAAGATACATGGTTTCTGGAACTTAAATGTCATTTTCTCACAGGAAGTTCCTTTCTAGGGAATATAAGTCTGAGACTCGCTATTTCACAGGAATAGAAGAGTAGGCTAATCTTGTATTTGTTTTGATTTTCATTTCCAAATGTCGTAGTATGCTCGTGAAAAGAATTAAGACCTTGAATACTCTTGCTTCTCATGTTTTCGTGTCTTGTTTCATCATCAAAGTGTGAAGCAGCAAACATACTGTTTGGGAACTTTCTGCCAAAACCTAAATCCTTGCTTTTAATGATGCTTACTAGTTTCTTCTTGATCTTTATTTAACCAATTCTCAAAGAAAAATGTTCATATCATGCATAAAACTTCTGTTTACTTTCAGTAAGCCTTCTATTCTTTTTCAAAATTTGTTGAATTGTATAGATTTCTGTTATGTTCTAAATTCTACAAACTAAAACATTGTTCGAGCCTCTCATTCATTTCAATCTTTTATCTAATAAAAGAATTTGTCACATGTTTTTGGTTGTTTTCCTAAATCATTAGATATCATCACTCAACTACTTTAAGGTTTCATATTATTGCATAATTTGCTTGAGTCTGTTGTCCTTGTCTTGATTTTTCAATTATAAATACATCAAAAGTATAATATAGACTTAACATTCATCTTAGTGAAACATTTTTTTAAAGAAAAAGTTCCATCAGCAGAAATTGCCAATTCTCAGATCTCATGCTTCTAGGCTATCATGGTAATATTAAGGGTATGATCAAGCACCTTGTGATGTTGTCATAGTGCTTTAAAGTTCCTTATCACTTACCACATCTTAATGTCAACTATGAAGAAGGGTATGGTTCAGAGTTCATTTTTTTGTTTTGGTTTGCTTGTTTATACTGGTGCATTCTCATGCACAATTTCATATCTATACCCAATATACCCAACATACCTATAAGTTGACCTGGCGTAATTCAGTACAAGCAATGCAGTCTCATGCTGTACTAGTTGGCCACCACCACAGGCTGGAAAATTGATCGAAGAGAGCATCATAAAGATTTCAAGTTTACTTTTTGTGCTATCTGTTAAATACTTATCCTCTCTCCATTTAATATTTTATTGCCTTGTGAACCAAGTGTTTGTTTCTTGCAATCACTTTCAGTGCCTTGCTTGAACCTTCTGATTTATATCTAGATCTCACATTTAGATATACTTCCGCTGTCTGACCTTGTTAGAGTGTTCAAATTTCCTAAAGGTTGTCTAAGTGAGTCCAATTTGAATATAGTACAAGATACTTGGTTTGTCATCAAGTTAATTACCTGGTTTTTGAAATATGTATATTCAGTAGTGTTGTAATTAACTATTGTATTTAATTAGCTCAGTGAACTACAAGAGTGTGATCTTTATTGAGGGAATGAATTCTGCAAGAATTTAATTAAGGTAATCTAACATAGTACTCCCTGTGCCTATTTCAAGAAAAAGGTTGGGTTGTTGATTTCTTAACACAATTGCAAAATTTGGTGGAAACATGAGTTGGTTGGGTTCTAATTTTGGAACGGCTATTTTCTGATGATCCCTGTTTTCAGAATACAGAATTTGTTCTGAAAGGCTAAGTCAATAGTTGCTAGTGGTTGGTTTTGGAAAGTCATTGTTTGGCACGCAACATACTGAAAGGACAAAGTTGAAGCTTTGCCAGACCTACAAAAGTCACCATTACTTGTAAAGAAATTACAAACTATGATAAAAAAAACAGGTGTCCTGATAAATTCATATTAAAAGACTACTTATTGGTGAAAACTTAATAGTTCTGATAATTTTGCATCAGAACAAGTTATAGATGTTAACATGTACGCAACACTAGTTAAAAATACAATGAAATTCATTTATCTGCAATCTTATTGTTAACATGTATGCCCTACTGGTCTGTCGTGAACTAGAAATACACGTTGTCAAAATCCAATCTGCATAAATTTGTTCAAATAAAGATGCTGAGGACCTAGTGGAAACCAAAATTGAACTGCAATCTTTTGACATTACAATTTAAGGGCCAAATCAAAATTGAAAATCAAACCAAATTAGATTTGGAACTTGTGTTTGAGACCAAGCCAACAATTTTTTGTGTTGTTACACTTTGAAGGCCAAGTTGAAATTGAATCCAATTAGAGGTTTCAGCCTCTCTGATGTGATTTTAGCCAATACATATATGTGCAAAACAGCAACAAGGTAATGTATAGCATGCGCAAACAATGTAATTCGTGATTAATTTGTAGGTACAACTATTGCAGCTTTGTGAACTGACAGAAATGTCATGATTCATATACATAACCTTTTATTAGTTTATTTTCAATAAATGAGGTTTTATAACTGAGATTCACTTCTGTTTAATATGGCTTTTTATGCATAATTTCTCTGTTTAGATATAAAGATTCAATACTTCTTTGGAACTATAACTATGATGCCAAATTTGCGAGATGATGACATTATATAATCATTGTGATAATGCTCTAATATTTGGAAGCATCTTACAAATTTTAGCTGCAACACCTTGTGTACAAGACTAACAATTATATAGTGTTCTACAATGCATGGTTGTTTGCAATATGAATTGGTTTAACTTGAGGCAATTGGGAAGAACTGCCCAGTATACATCCTTTGAAGTTCTAGACTCTTAGCTTATTCTTCATTGCACCTTCCAATAACCATGTTTGTGACCTTTTCTCTTGATAGGATCGAAAATAATTTGACGTCTCTGTGACATCTATTATGAATCATGTTCTGCCTTGTCAACAACATCAAAGTGAAAGCAATTAAAGAGTAATTTTTCAGTCACAAGTTTGTTTTCATCCTTGAAAAACATATCAGTCAAAACTTAATGACCTCTTAGTATCTTTTTTTAATTTTCTGCTACTCATGTTTGTTTTCTCATGATTTGTGAAAGATATAAATATAACATACAAAGGTATAGTTATCTTTTCTACATAAACAAATAACTGAATTAACTTCACATGCTAGGCAGGCATGTTCTAAAGCTGATGCTGCTGGTTCCAGTACATTAACAACAAAATTGTCAGAATTCAGAGATTCATGTTGGAGATTTTTAAGGCCTCATACTATTCGTGGGACTGCATTGGGTTCCATGTAAGAACTTCAGAATTTATTGTATAAAGATAGTGAACGAATTGTTCAAATTTTGATATCAATCTTGAGTTTAGTTCTCTATAGTTCTAACTCTCTGCTGTTTCTCATCTGTGCTTTGTTTTTCTGTTTCTTTTTTATTAATGACAGAGCTTTAGTTGCAAAAGCTTTGATGGAGAATCCAAATCTTATAAACTGGTGGTTGACATTCAAGGCATTTTATGGACTTGCAGCTCTTATTTGTGGCAATGGTTATATAGTGGGCATTAATCAGATTTATGATATTGGAATTGACAAGTATGATAAACTCTGCTTGCAACTTACCAAATCTGTTATATGTATGATTTTGTTTACTTAAAGATTTTACCTCTGTGCACATGACATATCTCATACTCCTATTAATCTGATTGCATGACCATCTGTTTCCTTATCCTTTTTCCTTCTCATCTTTGGTAACTTGTGTTTCTGGAATTTTGCAGGGTGAACAAGCCATATTTGCCTATAGCTGCAGGAGACCTTTCAGTTCAGTCTGCATGGATTTTAGTATTGTTATTTGCAGCAGCTGGCCTTCTGATTGTAGCATGGAATTTTGGGCCATTCATTACTTCCCTTTATTGTCTAGGACTTTTTCTAGGCACTATATATTCTGTTCCTCCATTTAGATTAAAGAGATTTCCAGTTGTGGCATTTCTTATCATTGCCACGGTATGCTTGGCCTTCTTTTCTCTTGATTTTTGCAAAATTAGAGGCTTCTACTTGTTCCTTATGCATATTTTGATATAAAACTGATCAAACAGTTAATCCTTATGATACTGAAGTATCTACTATCTAGTTCTGTGGCTGCATGAATGCAATTTATCTAAGAATTGGTTAGCAGCTAGGCTGATTTGTAATTCATGTAGACAGTGTATAGGTTACCCACAACATGGAACAATTTGTGCACTAACCACAATTTTCATGGATAATAAATGTCAAACATTTATTATACCTATAACCTATAGGAGAAATTTATTTTTATGCAATTAATACACCCATAAATCTTATCTAAGAATACTTCTAAATCTTCTTAGATATAATAGCTTCATGACTTCCTCAAACCATGGTTCGCTTTATCGGCCCGTACTGATGTACCGACTAATTGTTGGTATAGTACATACTGAGCTGTACCAAACCATACCGAATGTATCAATACATGATACATGGGGTTGTACCGATGTACCGCCCATACCGGTCTCCTATCGGATTGGTACGTATAGCCCGTATCGAGCAGTGCACCATGGTACGACAAACCTTGCCCCAAACCATATAATACTTTGAATTAAGACTTGGTATACTCAAGTTTTTAACTTATGACATTTCGAAACATAAGGAATAATGATGATAAATATCATCATTAATTATTCCAAACTTAACCGTGAAAGACCCAACTGAATCTCATCCTACATCAATTATGTTAATGCTGGTCTCACTAACTTACATGGTCTTCTTGATCAAGTAGTAATTTGCATTAGTGCATATAGGGTTGACAATATATTCACACTAAGTTTGCAAAATGCTGATCTTTTTTCTGGGTCACTCATGTTGGGGATTGCTCGACAACCAACTTTTGTCAATAGGAAAAGACAGATGATGATTGTTGTTTTCCTTTTGCTAGTGAAAAGTATTTTTTTAAACATTATTGTTTCTGCATATTCAAATACTGATTTGTACTTATTTACCAATCTGATAAGGACCATGGTCCGATACTAATCAATGTTTTATTATTGTCCTTTTGGATATATTGAATGGCATGGGTTGGTATGCCCCCTGAGGCCTGCTATACTGGTATTGCATCTGATCGATAGATTATTATTAAGTCTAAAACCGATACCAAACAAAGACTTAAATTCTTGTTTGTTTGTCTTATCCTTCTTGGTGTTTTATATGGTTTATATCATCTTTATTCAATTGGTTTTTTGCAGTAATGCTTTTTCACTTTTTTTTTTGAGCTGCTATTTTTATTTGAATTCCTTATATTCTCCTTGTACATTCTCAGTTACTTGATTATACCAAAGCTTATAAGCAATATGCTTATATTCCAAATTACATATTATGATGGCTAGAGATTGGCTTATATTTGTTGGATAAGGTATCTCTCAATCACTAACTTTTTTCAACGGAAGCAAATTGCGGAAATTAATTTCGGGTAATGAGTCTATGACAAATGGTTCAAGCCTGGCTTAAGCTGGTCCATATACCAGACTGCTCTTGGGCTGTTATTTACCACGTATACTGTACTGGTCCAAGCATTAACACATTCAATGGGAGCAATATTGTATATCATTTTTGTATAACTTTCCGTTCAATATGTGAAATTAATACAAATTAGATGTTGTTCTGTTTTATGAAATAGTAATCAAGATCACATTCATAATTTCTCAAGCTGTATTCACACATACTCAGCCTTTTGGTGGATATCAGATCATAATTATTTGAATTCTCATTTCTTTTCTTTATTTTTATGGACATAGTTTGTTCTACTGATTATCTTGTCTTTTTTTATGACTACAATTCCATAGGTACGTGGCTTTCTTCTCAATTTTGGTGTATATTATGCTACTAGAGCTGCCTTGGGACTTTCTTTCAAATGGAGGTAAAGAATCTTTTGATATTAATAAATAAAATTTGTTACTGGAAGCCATATGCATACAATAGTTTGTAACTGTAAACTAAAATATGTTTGTTTGAGCAAACATGTAAATGTTGTTTGTGCATCTCATTGCAGACACATGCAGAGATGATGGTGATGTTTAATCCCATATAACATCTTTCTATCTGCAGTGCACCTGTCACTTTCATCACAGCCTTCGTGACACTATTCGCTTTGGTCATTGCTATAACAAAAGATCTTCCAGATGTTGAGGGAGACCGCAAGTGAGTAATGAACTGCCCTCCAAATTTGTATGTATGATACAAATGTCCTTCACATTTTTCTCAATCTTGGGTGCACTTGATACACCTGACTGCATATTAATTTGCCTTTCCAAGCACAAAAAAAACCATGAAATCTCCCCTGTACCAGGAAGCTAAACTATTGCATTGTCTTATATGTGATTAATGAAGATATTAGTAGATTTAGACATGTATAAAATATCAGTCAAAATGGGTTTGGTCCTCCAGGCATTTCATCTTTGTCTCTAGAAAGTCAAAGCAGATCACTCTCCACAATCAGGTTCTAACCCGTATTTTAAGGCCTAGTCCAATGCTTTCAAAGCAAAGGCTTCTGTCATAAGCACAATGTATTCGATAAATGTCTTGCATGATGCACATGTTAACCTGTATGCATCTATTCTTCTTGCATCACACCTGTGCATAGTTAATCAATATATGCACAAAAGACTTGGATCTTATGGTACATCCCAACCTAAAAGTCAAGTTTCTGTAAATGAACCTCAGATGGTAGATGGCTACATGAGAAGGAGATTGAATTTTGTTAATGAAAACATTTGTGTTGTCTCTGAGGTTTTTCTCAAGAAATGTTCCTTGTCTTTTTCATTTGCTCCCTGCTTATGATACTATCTAGAAGTCTTTCTCAGGAAATCAGGTTCGATTTGAAATCTTTTTTTCACTGTTATTTTGTTAGCTTTACTTTTTCCTTCTTTTATTTGTCTTCCTTTATTTCCATTTTGTTGTTAACACAATTTAATCAGATTTAGAGACAGAACTAGTCTGCCCTGTCTGCCATGGGCCTTATTCTTTAGTCATAGTAGGCAAATTTTATTAATCCATTCCCTCATCTTCAATTTACTGTTTCAATCTAGGGTCTAAATTTCCTATTATCTGGATCTAGCAGAATAGGCATGCTCATGTCCTTCCTCTTTATGTCTGCACTGGTCATCGTGCTTCGGGGATATTCTAGATTGTCATTTAGCATATTATTGTATGCAGAAAGTTTTAACCCATATAACTTATATCTTATCCAGCTAACTGGCTTCTATGTTGGCAAGGACTGCTTCTTGCTTAAATCAACATTAGTTTAACATTGGGCACTGTATGATTATCTTCCATAAACCATAATGATCTAGAGCTTTGCTCAGTATGTTAAACTGTGTTGTCCTTGAAGTCATATATGATGCTGCTGTTTCCCCTTTAAACTTTTCTGACTCTACAGTTGTTCTTTGGAGATGAGATAAACATTCACGCAAACAAATTGTGATTATAATTGTAAATATACTGACACTTGGATCATGTATTGGTTCTACCATTGAAACATTATTAGTTACCTTTAAGTAATACTTGGTATTTGACCCCAGTATTCATTTTTTTTGGCGAGAAATAAGTATAGCCTGTCAACCTGAGTACAAGCACTTGCACAGGGTAATAATACGTTGACTCAGAGTTTGGTCATTACATGGTTCACATCCAATTTAGAGTATGGCAGTTGGTTAATTAATTTGAAGTGTCAATCAATTGGTCTTTAGTCAATCTTGAGAGATGCATTGATATAAGATTATTTTACAGTATGTCACAGCATGAATGTTGAGGGTATTGCCCTTCCCATGTAGAGTTAAAAAATACTTGTACATGTCATACGTATCAAGTATTTCTTCCTTGGCTCACATATGCAATTCTTCTTTAGATTTCAGATCTCAACCTTGGCAACAAAGCTTGGTGTCAGGAACATTGCATTCCTTGGTTCAGGTCTCCTATTAGCAAATTACCTTGGTGCTATTCTTGTCGCAATTTATATGCCTGAGGTGAACACATTATCCAAAATCCTTTTTGCAAGTCTTGGTTCCTTCTTAAACTCAGTGCTTCAATATTTCTAATGTTTGTCCACCTCTTTGTTATATGGTTTCGAAACTGGCTTATGTCATTGTAACTGTTGTTGGCAAAAATGAAAGATCTGTTTACTTTTCATTCAGCTTTTGGTTGTATTAACCGAGTGCTTCAGTGCAAGCAGCCATGATCTTTTTGCCTTTTTTTCTGAATTATTGTGCATTTTCTTTCTCTTGAAATCTGCCTTTTGTTTTACAGGCTTTTAGACGCAGCATAATGGTGCCAGCACATGCTCTGTTAGCACTGGGATTAATTTTCCAGGTTATATCATATCTAATTTCCCCGTGTTTATATTGCACCTTAAAAAACACTTCAAGTTCCTTGCCCCTCGTGATTAACTGATAACTCCATTTATGTTGATAATTCATTTTGAAACTTGCCTTAAGAAGTTCTTGCTGAAACATGGCAAACAACTTCTTGATGATTGGACTTTTTTTTTGTAACTTCTTATAGAATAATATATTTTTTTGTTGATGCTTCTTACTGTACTATATCAGATTGGGCATTTTGTGAATCTTTAAGAGATAGGCATAGAGCTTGCCACACATTACATTTTTTGCTATAATTATTTAAAGTTAAGTTGAATTAAACCTATAGATGATACTTAAATGTTGTGATATAGGTCAAATGATCTAAGGTTCCAAATACCAGACTTACCATCTTGTATGGTCTGGTACTTAATTGTCTAATAGAGGATGAACAGGTGGGCTGGCCAATTTCACCCATTCTGGCTCAAAATAGAGGTTTTTTATTTTTTTAATTTTATTTTATACAGTTGAAGACAGTTGTTGGCTGCCAACATATAGTAAAAGAATATAATATAAAGTATAGCTGAGAAGGCTATTGGAAAACACTATTCAGATAAGATTGTTTGGACACCGCCACCACAGTCTCTCTCTCTCTTCTCCTGACTGTAACCACCTCCTCCATCATTGCTGCCTTGGCATCCACCTTCTCCCATTGCCACTGCTGCCTCCTCCTTGCATCATTGTTGCTGCTGCCTCCTCCAACAGTATGCAAAGTCATCTCTTCCACTTCCTTCCCCTCTTTCTCCTCCTATGCTCACTCCTATCTCTTCCACTTCCTCCCCCTCTTTCTCCTCCTATGCTCACTTCTATCTCTTATCTCCACTCCTCTGCCTCCCCTTTTCTCGTTCTTTTTCTTTGGTGCATGCCATTTAGCACAGGGCACACCATGTGTCAGCATGCTTCACGTGCTGATTGCCAGATCAGTACAAGTATCAGACCAAAATTTGAAACCTTGGGTCTGGGCATTCACATGAAATATATTCAAGCTGAATGTATACAGAATGTCACATAAAAAATATAGTTCTTTTTTAAGAAAGCAGCTTCTGTAAGTAGTTAACAGTAAAGTGAAAAATTAGTTGGAGCATACATAAAATTGGAACTTTACTGAGTGCATGTTGGGTTGCTCCCTGATTGCAACATTTTGTATCTACTCCACACGTATGATTCTTTGAGAAAAGGTTGGATAAGATGGACATAAATTAAATTAAGGCACTGTTTTAGAAATGATTTGTTGCATGGGCATCCCAGTTTGGTGGCTATTAAGTGAAGGTTCTCATGTTGATCATAAGGAAAAACTTAAATGGCCAGCTAGGAAATAAGTCAACATCAGGGGGGAGTTCTCATGAGGCTATGGATATAGGGGAAGAAAATGAACCATGTAAGTTTAGTTCTGTCACGCCTTATGAGTTTTACTGGCAGTTAAGGATTTTACATGTTGGTTATGCTAACCTTGTTGGTTGATGCTTGAAGCTTTTAACACACTAGCACAGTACGGCATTGGTCATGCTAATGTACAATTTGCTAATGTTGGCTGGCACTCCTTTGTTAGCACACACTGGATTAGGACCTTACAAGCATGAGGGTACATCCTGGAACAAAATGTTATTTTGCTACTATGTATTCCTATGGAGATAAATGCTTGATTGCAAATAAATTGTATAGTTACACATTGTACGAGGGATTTGCTAGGTCCAATCTTGAGGCCTACTATTTATCTAGGATTAATCAAACTTGTCCAAAATTATTCATGGCAACCAAAATCTACCTCAGACTCAACCAGAAGCTATTGGAACTCAATCAAACCTCTGCCATTGACAAAGTTCATCTGATGTCAGTCTAGTTCCACCGGTTTCAGTTAGTTACTGGGTTGCTCGGTTCCAGGATTTTAGCCAGTTACCAGTCTGGTTGGTTTCAGTAAGTTCTAACTGGTTTATTGCTATTATCGGTTCATTTTGAGATCTAATAGCTGATTTTGATCCTGACTTGACGTAGCCAATTTATGCTGATTTCTGGTTATCAAGATCGATTTTAATTGTCATGGTTGAACTTAGCTCATTTTTAGCTTTGGAGAACCCAATTTTTTGATTGCAGAATTTGATTTGGCTAGTTTGTCAATCATAATTCCATAAACCTTAGCACATCTGACTTAATAATATCCTGCCAATTCATATACGTGTATTTTAAGCTTATATTTCTTTGTGTATACGAAACAAAAGATAGTGTAAAATATTTGCTTTTTTTTTTCTTTGAATTTGAAGATGGAGTTGGCTCTCTATCTTTTTTTTGTCTTTTCTTTGTCTCTTTATTTTAGAGGATATCCCTTGTATTCCTAATATTAAGCTCTCTTCCTTATATGATTAGCTTTATAATCTTCTTATGCATTAAGTTGAGGGTACATGTGATTTTCAGGCATGGATTTTGGAACAAGCAAAATACACCAAGGTATGAATTATCACTATATACTGTCCATTAGTTTCTTAGATAAACTCTACTCACAGTTTTCTTTATCAAAACCTCAAGAGATTGGTGATACTTTTTTCTGTAACATTGGGATAGGTTTTAAATTGAGATGTAGAAAAAGCAAATAGATGACTGGTGAAGAATATTGCTGAGAGCACAGCATCCTTCTCAAGAATAGTCTAACCTCTTAAATTCTTGCCTTTAAAATCCAAACAATCTAATGTGCAGAGCAATTCATACAAATCCCTATCTTGGTACATTATATACATTAAATCATTTACAGTCATGAGAAGCTAGTTAAAGTTTACAATCATCGCTCTTAAATCATTGTTGATTTGAGCAAAATAAATTTAGTCTTGGTGAAAACAAATTTTAGTCCTCAATTAGATAGTGCTATTACAAGAAAAACAATTGAAACTAGGTGAGACATGGCTGTGCCTGTGCCAAAACCAATTTCTTACTTAGACCTGATTAATCTCATATCACCGGGATGTTTCCTTGTGATGCTTTTAAATAATTTTCAGTCATCACTTGTTGATTGGGTGATAACAAGTGACTCAACCAGTTTAAGCTATAAAAAGAATTTGTTTGTCATTATTTAATGATATTTATTTTATCCTTCTTTTTCCTTGCAGGAGGCAATATCACAGTTCTATCGGTTTATCTGGAATCTTTTCTACACCGAATATATCATTTTTCCCCTTATATAGCAAAACTTAGAATTTTCTATTGCTTGTATCTCTGAATCCTTTTCGCTTATCCTTCTATTTCTTGATCAAGAGAAAATTTGTAGGGATAAGTGTCGTAGAAGAGATTGCCCTCTTGAGATGCATGCATAGAGGAGTACACACAGTGGGGAGTGCCAGTTTTGTTCCTGAAACTGACTGATCCAAGGGCATGTATTTTGCATGTTTTATGCAGTTATTTTATTAGGTTAATTACTCAGTATTTTATGTGTGAAAATTGAGGATAAACAGCTATGTAGTTTTCTCATTGACCAATGATAATTTATTTTGAATGAATTATTCTTCCACGGACGTCAACTACTTTTTGCAGTGTGATACTGCTTTGTGCTGTGGGTGTTGTTTGTTGATGAACATTTCAGTAGATGGGAACCTTATTACAATATTATTTTGTAAAATTGCATATATATAATTCATATTTATCACAAAGTTATGTTTTGTGTGTGTGTGTGTGTGTATATATATATATATATATATATATATATATATATATATATATAATAGTAACTTTTGCCCTATATTTATTCCAAACTCGATTTATAGATATTTTAATCTAAATTAAATCAGCAAAATAAACATGGAAATAGCAAAAGAAAAAAAGAACACTGAATAAATGACATTTCTAAATATCGAGGGGAGTCGCTCTCGTCAACGCTCCATCTCACGCTCTATCCATCTAAATCTGGCATCTCAGCCGTCCATCCATCCGAAAGGCTTGATAACATTCATCACGGTGATGGGCACGAAACAACGGTGAGCAGAGACGATCATGTCTTCCACTTCGACTGGCAGCCTTCCGCCCGGCGCTGGCGGAGGCGGAGGAGGGATCGGCGGCGGCGGTGGCGGCGGCGTAGGGGGTGTGGGAGTACGGGGCTGGCTGTCGGCCACGTCGGTGTCGTCGTCTGGGAAGAGGATCAAGAAGGAGATGCTGGAGCTCAATGCCGATCCGCCTGCCGACTGCTCCGCCGGCCCCAAGGGCGACAACCTCTACCACTGGGTCTCCACCATAATCGGCCCCCAAGGTCTAGCTAAACTCTTCCTCTCTTTATCATGTTCATCACCACCATAAACCCTTACGCTCTCATCATGTTGTTCTAATTGCTTCTTAGAGAGGCAGATACTTTGTGTTCTCTGAATTTACGGTTAGCAATGGTTTCTTGATTTAAGCTGACCTAAAAATTGCTGCAAGAAGGGGGCTGTTGTTTGCACTTGCAGCCCCTCTGGTTTCATTCATGATTAATGAGAACATTCTCATAAGCAGGCGCTTAATAAGACTTTTTCTTAAGGTAATGGTTTCTCGGGGCATATGCCCCTTGCTGCTTGAGATTTGGGGTGATTAATTCCTGCCCCTTGTTGTTTTGGACCTTGGAAAGTGAACATTCTTGTAACATGTACACTTGATATATTAAGGGATATGCTTGTCATGAACAACGTTTCATGTGTTTCTCCACCAAACAGAAAGAGGGAGAGAAAAGGGGAGGACGAGAAAAGGTGGAGAAGAGGAGGAAGACTATTTTGTCCTTTCTCATATTAGTACCTAAGCATCTTTCCTAGATTCTGGTAAGAACATGGTCTTACCAAAACTAGTCAGGGGCTACCCCAACAGTCGAATAGCCTTTGTGCACCTATAAATATATTTATTGGAGTTCCAAGGTATAATCTTTCCCATTTGTTGCTTCAACTCAGTCTGGCGACCTCACTCATTTAAGCATCCACATGTACGACATTGGACTCCCATGCCCTTTTCTTCTTGCGATTTTCATCATGTAGGCTCTTTTCCATAATGATCTCACTTCCTACTGTCTAGCAACTTGATCAGCAACTTCAAGATGGTCTAGATATTATGTGATCATTTGACTCGTTAGTCACACTCTATCCTCCAGTTTTAGTATAGCGACTTTTAGTTTGGAACTATCAAGATTTTTAGTTTGGCCATGAACAGAACTGATCTAAACATGAACTTTAACCCATTATACCTAATATGCTCTAACCGTTTTTCTACTTACATATGCTTAAGGGGCTTTTAGTAAGGTTTTTAAGTTTTTCTAATTGCTGCCGTGAATCAAATATGCCATAGCTAGGATGCATGTCATATCTATCCTGCAATATTGGGAACAATTCTACAGCTCACTGTAAACGTAGTTTCTAAGAGTTCTGGTTGGTATGGTGATTCCATGGGGATTTCCTTTGATATATGAGAATCTCAGTCAAACACTCTTCTCTCCCATTTCAATTGGGTAGCTAAAAAATTCCAAACAGTTGAAAGGACTGGTAAATTTCAGATAGACATAAAATATACATGAAATCTCCTACGAAACATAAAATGTAGACTGAAATTTAAAAAATCTCAACTTGGGATTTCAAAAATGTAGGCATGCAAAATGGAATAATCTTGTTGGAACTTGGATTCCCATTATGGTAATAGTCCTAGGATTTCTAATCCCTGTGCTAAAAGATATCATGTGTTGATTCTTTTCATCATTAATGAGCTGTATTATATTTTCTCTTCAAAGATTACATATATATTTTCACCACGAAGTTTAATCCTCGATGCCTACCACATATGTTTTTTTATCTATCAATATTTAGAATAGATTTTCATACGAATGATAAGTACCTAAAGGATCCATTTGCCTGGAACCCTTGGTAGTTACCAACTTTTGTTATTATTTCAGGAACCCCATATGAAGATGGCATATTTTTTCTTGACATTGTCTTTCCATGTGACTATCCATTCAAACCCCCAAAGGTATGTGAAATTGGACTAAATAAAAAGACATCAAATTGTTGTGCTTTTGTTAGTTTATGCTTAATATTATTATACTAGACTTTCTAGCTACAACATTGTATTATTTCATTCAATCATATTGCATCATCATTTAGATTCCTCATTTCCTTTTACTTTTTATATACGTTGTTTCTTAACTGTCCAACATTATATTAATGTACTCACCTGTTAGAGATAGTTTTATATTGGCAAGGTCAATTTACCTGCCCTATGATATGCTAGACGTTGTCTTTCCCAATATCTTCCTCAGTTTTCCTGCTATTGGAAAGCAAATCGAAAGCTTTGGAGAAATGAGTAAATTGAATAGGCCAAAGATGATGTACATCTAAGCGCAACATCTTTAAGTAGGTTTTTTTAAAAATAGCTTTATTTGCCAGTATCACGATGAGAATACCATGCCTCTTCATTCTTGCAACCTATTGTAGATAGTGTATCCAAGTATCACAACTTGGGCACAAGTATTTCTTTATTATACTTTTTTTTCTCATTTTTTGTTTGTTTGAAGCATAAGCTTAAAAGGGTGCTATGTCGTTATTTGCAGAGATCCATTCAAATCTAACATAAATTAGTGAGCACCCTTATACAGTCAGCTTCATATGCCTAGGTCCATTGGTCCATGCATCTTCCCCTTGTCATGTTTTGTGCTTGACATTTTCTTGTACCTCATTAGTAAGACCAACCTAAGGAGGTTATCTAGACCACGATAGAGAAAAATAATTGAGAAGATATTATGAATATTTCTACAACAAATGTATGCTAGGATTCCATTGGTATATTGAATAGGTGAATCTGTGGAGAGATGATTAATACTCATAAAATAAATCGCACTTTCTACCTCTATTTATTTGTTAATTAAGTAGAAAATAAATTAAAATCAGACATTGTTTGACAACTACGTTGCTTAGATGATTGACACCCCGGTTTAGTCCTACATTGCAAATAAAAGGATAAATCTAATTGTACATAGGGATAGGGGTAGATGAGTCTACTACTATTAGCTTGGGTTTAAATAATTTGGATTATGTGGCTTTAAGCTCACTAAGTTAATACATTTGTCTGTTCATCAGAACTTGGTGATAGGCATGATGAGAAATCCAACTAAGAAAGAGCTACTCGTGGACGAGGCTTAAGGCACATCCCAACATGCAGCCACCAAGCTACCCCCTTAGGGTTTGCATCTAGATGAGTTGGTCTTTAGGCACTTGGGATTGATTATGGACCATGAGTCAATCAAGTCATGCTTTTATGCGAGGAATGATTCAGTCCACATTGGAAGTAGGAGGATGATTGTGATTGTATCTAGATGAGCTTACTTTCCAAAATTTTGGATTAAGTATCTTGACCCACCTGGTTTAAAACCAATCAGGGTAATTAATCAGTTTGTTGGTCGTGACAATAATAATAAAACAGGTCATTATAGTTAGAGTAGGAGAAGGAGGAGATGAGGAGGAGGTAATCAAGAAGAAAAGGGGAGGAGAGAAGTAGGAGGAGGAGAATCCCATGAGTCAGGACAATCACCGCCCTGTATCTCATATGGACCATCCCAAATTAAGTGGTCCATGTGCTGGTTCAGGTTTGATCCAGTATATACCAATAAACTTTGACATAGTTTTGTTGGTATTCATTAAAAAAGGTTGTGGTTGAAACCACTGTCTTTAATGAAATCAAAACTCTTATGTCAATATCAACAAAAAAGTTGTGGATGAAATCACCGCCTTCATTGAAATTAGAACTCTTACGTCCATGTTGAGGCAGAAATTAAAGCTTTGTACTGTGCTGATGAAGTCTTAAGTGTGCAATAGAATAGCTGGATTATATCCTGGTGCCATGCTAACACTGGGGCCTTGCAAATTTGGCAATTTATTCATTTAAGCATGTAAAGTGAGTAGATTGTAGTATAATTATATGCAAACTAGTACTCAGAAATCTGATTTAACTTCATTTGTTTAGTTGATGAAATGGATAACTCTAGATCCATATGTTGATCTCTTAAGAAGTAGTCTCCAATTTGAAATAATGATCTGGCTGACCTATGAAACAGCATCAATCATACACTTTTAAGCATGACCCAATGGCTGATGGAAAAGTCTCTCGGCATCTATACAATTCCATCCCAATAAAACTAAAAAATAAAAACAAAAGATTCACAAGAACAGAATTGATCATTCACTAGCAAGCATCACTACATAAAACTAGCATATTAAAAAACTTAGGTGGCATGGAAATTTTTTTTGAAAGGGATGATTAGGGGTTCTCATAACACTTCTTTTTATTTTAAAGGCAAGATAGATTAAGGAAGGGGGATGAGGGCTCTTTTATGTTTTATAGGTAATTTTGTTTTTCTCTCTTCCTTCATGAAATATGCAAATAGAGAACTTAGTGGAGAATATTGCCCCCACTCTAAAGTAAATGATCAAGGGAAGATGATAACACAGATACCCTCACTTTCTACCCTTGATGCATCTTGCTGCCATTTGGCAGAAGCTCACAGGAGTGACTAGAGCCAACAGCTGCAGCAGTGGCCCCTTCGTAAGCCTACTGCTGCCAGCAGTGGTGCGGCTTACTGCTTCCTGCAGTGATGCAACGACCCCTCACAGGTTTATTGAGACTAGCGGCAGCCCCTCGCAGGTTGTTGTGGCCAGCAACAGCAGTAGCTAAGGGAAGAGAGGACAGTGAATTGAAGAAGACAAGGGTGGGGAGGAGAGAGAAGAAAATGGAGGAAATAGAAGTGGGGAAATAAGGTGAGGGTATTTCATTAAATTGACAGTCTACTGATAACATTAGTATCAAACAAATATGCATGCATTTAATATTTGGTCAGATATAATTTTATATATTGCAATTTTCCTTTTAATTGTAGCTTCATCGTGCCTCAGCTTCTTTACCCTCTTTGTCTTCGTGTTTGTTGTCTTTTCATGCTGCTCAAAAAAACTGTAATGTTCTCATACAAGGGAAATTGATGCCAATCACAACCAATGTGTGTTGTGCACCACACATGTTATACAAAATATATATAGTAATAGCCTCAAAACAGCATTTGATATTCCTTAAAATTGGTCTCTTCAATTGTATTCGAGATTTCTGTAAATGCTTCATTGGCGCAAGAAATAGATGTAATAAACTGCTTGAGAATCCTGTCACATATGCCATTTTGGTTTTTTGTTTCTGTTATCTATGACAATTTTGGAATGTTAAATGGACAGATATATTGCGTTTGATATATCTTATATCAAAACCTTTAAATGGTATATATATTGCAAAACAGGTAAATACCAGAAAAGTTCTATCGTAATATATCTTGTAGTTTGATCGAGGGTGGCTGAAACTGCTTGTGAGCCTTTAGATTGTCCATTTATTCTTGACTGTGATTATCGTAAGCATCAGTAAGGCTAGCTATCTATCTGATGAATCACACTCATGATCAATTTGGCTTCAGGTAACATTTAAAACTCGGATTTACCACTGCAATGTTGATTCGGTTGGCGATCTGAACCTAGACATCTTGAAGGATGCGTGGAGTCCAGCCATGACAATCTCGAAGGTTTTACTCGCCATCAGATCAATCATCACAAATCCGGTTCCCTGTACGTCATACGTCATTTGTTTGCTAGTTCATCAAGGGCTTAGTTGGAAACGGCATGATATATTAGCATCTTTTCATCATTTCTGTTCCTTGTTCTCCGCTTTCTTCCCCACAGCAGATAACCCAGAGATCGCCGGCATTACGCAGTTATACTTGACGGACAGAGCTAAACATGATGAGATTGCAGCAGAGTGGACTAGACGTTTCGCCAGATAAGAACATGAGCTAAATATGATGTGATGGTATCATGTAAATAGTAACTATACGTTGAGTTTCGTAGAAGGTTGGTTGTATATATAGAGATTACAACCCACACAAGAAACCAGTTTGTAGAGAGACACTTGTATGTAGTATTAATTTGGTGCCCACAACACGTGAAGAATTTATCGAATTGGAATCTTACATGTCTCACTTGTAATTCCATGTAAATGGAGACAAATGAGTCGTTTCGTTGATTATTTTTACCGGTTTCAGATGGTATGCAACAATCTAACTTTCTTCGAACAGTTCATGTGATAGGTGAGATTCAACGACAAAAGAAAGATTCATGTATCCAACTTTACTTCAAACGTTACATCTTTGTTGTATTATAATCCATATTCATCAGTTCATGTATCAAACACTCTATATGCACAAAAACATAGTTCAAATGTGCCATATACCAAAAAAAAAGAATAGTGTGATAAAAATCAAAAAAAAATAAAAGACGTGCGACCTGCCAAATTGAGTTGATGCTTGATTATTCCACTTCCAAATCCTTTTACCTCGAAAGCGGTGGCAAAGAAACCACCTACATGGCATTGAAAGATGATGGTCGAGCGAACTTGGGCCGAGCTTTAGTGAGAGCCTACAGGTTTAGGCAAAAGAGTCTACTCTCCGATTCATGATCAACTGGGGTTGCTACAGCCAAGAATGCTCACCTCAAAACGACTAGTAAATAAACTATGGCTGAAATGAATCAAGTAGGCAAACAAACTGATCTTAGAGCAGCAAACACTAATATAGAGAAGTCTTAAGTTGACAAATCGAGAAAGATCCAAACACTAATATAGAGAAGTCTTAAGTTGAACAAATCGAGAAAGATCCAACTGAATCTATCCATTCCCTAAAAACAACACTTGGGCGTAAATTCCCTCTCCTCCATAAGCAGAGAAAAAGCAAACGAAAGAATAACCAGAAAAAAAAAAGGACAAAAGGAAAGACAGTCCATCAGAAACGATACACGCTGCTGCCGAAGCTGAACCATAGGCCTCACCGCCTCCAACAAACCCTGTTACAGTTGAATGACGTGAGACGTACAGCTTTCAACATCATTATACATCTATTCCTTCCAAACCAACGGAACTCAGGCAGCTTGGAGTAAAAACTGATCCTAGGATTGGAAATGTCCACAACCACAGCCCCACTTTTGGCGAGAAGCACTTGCTGTGAAAAAGTCATGAACCTAGCCCTCACATTCGCTGACTCACAGAAAGTAATCGGGAGTTCTGCGAGTCACATCCGGCTCTCCTCTTCTGGGGGCTGGCTCAAACTGCAACAGAAACACCAATCAACAAGAGGTCAAATCCTAAATAGTTTCCATCCACAAAGACAGCCGGAGTTGCCAGGAGAAATACAAGGTTTTGATTGAATTGTTAGAACTTCACAAAAGCAAAGAACCATGCTGCACTGATATGGGAAACATGCACATGAAATAGAACTCACCCTGCAGACACCTGCTTGGTGGTGCCCGTCAGGTGTAGGAAGTTTCGCCTAAACACAACTCTAAATTTAACATTTTCCCAAAAGACATTGTTGGAAATCATCATGGGACCTTACATAAGCCTAAGCCCACAACTAGGATTTGATTAATAGTGTTCACTGTCTGACCAGGCACAAAGGCAACTAAAGACTTTCTTTTACAAAGCTTAGTAACCCATTTGGTTCTACGTTATGGATCCTTGATTCACCTACATGCCCATTCTGGCACAATATTGATACGAGTAACCATTAAATATCAAATACATACAAAGTAAACATGTACAAACATACACATACACAAGCATTTTGTCACACAATACATAAATATATATATAGAGAGAGAAAGATCTACCTGGATGAAAGTATGCCCCTTGCAGTCATCAACTTCCAAGATGGAGGCCATATTCCCACACCGGTAGCAATAATTTGGAGCACTAAATATAGTAACTACCTTTTGGTCCTGTTTTAGGCAATTGAATTATCAATTCAGTCATTGAACTTCCAAGAAGTCAATGCAAAAACAACATAATAAAAAAATTAGTTACATGTCCCCAGTTGTATCCTTCCATGACTAATTGATGTGCTCTGGCTATCAGCTTAAGGTTATTGGTATGGTTGAACTGCTCTGATATATCCTGAAAATACAATTACCTGAAGCTGCTTAATGCAAAGACAGGACATTGCAACCACAAGGAAAGAAAAGGTCTTGCATTATACTTGGCCAAAGGTATATCCTGCACCCCGAGGAGAAATACCCCAACCACATCTGTCATCAGGATCAGACCATAAAAGGTCACACATAGGCCCCTCATGTGGAACCTCTTGAACACGATCAAAGTTACGGATGTTATCAAGAGTTTCAATAGATGGAGACAATCCACCATGAAGGCAAAATATTTCCGATTCAACCTACGCAGACAGTGAAAAAAGATATTCAAGTCAGTCAATTTCATGAGTAATGACTCGACGATCAAGAAATCATCACCAGCTAATATGCATCGAGGCATAAATACTCGGACCATACAGGGAAAACTCAGATACTCATGAAAATCATTGCACACATTCACATTATAAAATCAACCCTTATGCAGACTGATTTTCTGCAATGGAGAACTAATGGAACTCCTAGCATCAACAAGAAAACCAACATGAATTTAATTGATAAAACACCTTGTATCAGTAACTTGAGGTAAATTAACCATCATAACAGAAGAAAAAATGACATACAAAACAGTATATATACGTCCATCCACTAACTAGGCATAAAGGTTGATCTAAATGTTAAAAAAATCAATACTTGTGATAATTTATCTTAGTTGGCATTAAATGTTCAGAACAATTTCAACAAAAAGATTAAAACAAGCTTCCAACCCATATCAACCATTTCTTAGGAAGCACTTTCCAACACACAAAGCTGCGACAAATCCACATGTTGACATCATATACAAAGAAGTCATTGGAACATGTTGATTAAATACAGTTTTTTCCAACACCAGGAATAAATCATAAAAAAAAAAGGGTTCTAGTATTAGCTTAGAGTTGTTGCACATCCAAATCAAACCAAAAATTTAGCAGAAAACTGCATGATAGTGGCATCCAGAATAAATATCCATTGCCAGGAGCTAATAGGAATAGTTCAAGTACAAACCAGTGCTGTCAAGGGGAAGTAATCAAACAAATCTGTAAAGATCTTCCATACATTTGCATTACCATATCTGCAATTAAATAATGCAGGAAAATATTGTAAGGAACAGATAGTTAATACAATTACATGTAAAAACCAGAACAGGATTAAATTGATTTCTCCTGATTTAGAAGTACATTAAGGTTGCAGATCAAGATGCATCGTGGTTCTACTTCGAGAAAACAGAACTCGCAAAGATTCCATGACAATGATGAATTTGGTACTAAAATCACCATATACAAGTTGCATACAGATAGATGCTCCACTAGCTTGACTATGATTGGATCAATGAGACCTTAACCATACTAACCCCTTCTAAAGCAACTCTACTCTTGCCTTAAAACTGGGGGGTGTTATAGTTGTATATCCATTCCCACAATTAATGACCAATTTGCTATGTTATATTCATTGGTCCAACAACAGTTTATATGACTGACATATCTAATTATTGTCATTACACTAAACGAAGTCCCATAAATTATAGCATATAAACTGGTCAGTGGTGAAAATGCCAACAGCATCAAGAGTTGGCATCTGGAAACTATTGATGCACTTACAAAACTTTTAATGTGTTCCTGCACCACGCTCTTGCTCTAAAAGTCCTCAAGCCTATGGCTTCACAGCAGCACTATCTGCACGTGCTGACACTGACTACAGAACAAGTATCAACAAATAAGTATAGCAGAATGCAAACAGCATAGCCCCGTATCAGGCCTAGCAGTTATCAGTTAATATAGTTTACTTGTCTCCTAGGCAAAGCAATTCTCAATTCTTCAGTCAACAATCTTCAGTCATTACTCCTAAGGGAAAACAACCAATTCTGGGACACAGCATGAAGCACCTGTGACCTATACTGTGCTTAAAGATGTCATGGAAGTATTGATAAACCTGGTGACATATACTGTGCTTGTAGAACAAGAATATAACTACATGACTGCACTTTGCAGTAAACTACTAAAATATAATTATAATTATAATTGGCCCATTTAAAAGTTTATAAAATTGTTTTTGAAGGAAAAATGTTAGGAAATATGGTACTGCATATCACGCACATACCATGTTGAAGAGATATCAACCTTGCACGATAATAATATCAATCATAACAGCTGCAGTAAATAGCATTACTCTAACAGCTGGAAATTGTGTATTTCCATAAATGCACAATATAAAGACTAAAAAGAATAAAAATGCCTCCGTCATCAGAAGAACTCTGTTATTTTAATCCTTGTTCTCCATCAGTATAGTACCACATGGAAGAAACTAAAAACATGTCACACAGAAGGAGGCAGTATCATTTTTCATACAATGGCATGCATTTAGAGTGAATGGAACTAGACCAAAAAAATGTTGACTACAGTTCACTTGTATCTACTCTTTATAAATTACAGATAAAAACAAGGATCATTTATCAATAATAAAAATCAGTCTTTTGAATCTTTTAAAAGAAACCATTTGTTTAAATAGGTCCAGGCATGCACTGAGCAGAGTAAATCTAGCATGTTCCTACCATAGGACCACTAGATACAGCTGGACGGTTGGTTGGTGACTGGTCTACAGACCAATAGGGTGATTCCTAAACATGGAGCTTTGTTCCCCATGGAATTGCAGGACTCCCCCCAAACCCAGCTGGTGTTGAAGAACTTTTATTCAAATTCCAAACGATGGAGAAGCTGACGTCTGGCTTGCTCAAATATATAGGTTGTGGAGCTAATGCTAATGTCGGGTAGGACAATTGGTTATTTGATGCTCTTATTGCTTTAAAACCTACTTTTCTAAATGTGAATGCTAGTTGGCACATATTCATGTAGCTGATCTCCTTTAAGATGGCTCTTGGGCTTATCATTTAGTCCTGTGGCAATGAGTAGGATTATTGATGTCAAGGTTCTAGATCTTGCTCTGGTACCAAACCAGGCCACACATACCATGTGTTGGCAAATCCTAATCTGACAAGCATGGCTCGAACTGGAAGAAGAGAAAGCAGATAAGGAAGAGGAGCAGAAAGCGGTGCAAGAAGACAACGCCAAGGAAGGGGAGAAGAGGTGGCATGCGTATCTTAAGGAGGAGAGGACGTGGTAGGATCAGTGATTTAAAAAACGCTAGGCGCCAAAAAGCGCCAAGGTCCAAAAACGCCTGAGGCGCTAGGCGCTCGCCCGAGCGAAGCGAGACGCTAAAATATAAAAATATATAATATAATTAATAAATATAATTATTTAAAATTTTAAATTAAAATATGCTATTAAATTAAGAAAATCTATTAACAGTATTGAAAATTAATAATTTCAAATAAACCTAACAATATTAACAGTATACAGTATATTGTTAACAATATACTGTATACTATTAACAGAAGGAGAAGAAGGAAGTGTAAGGGGGTGCTGAGCCTACTGATTGAGAAAAGAGGAAGCGGCAGCGACAGCGGAGTGTAAGGAGGCAGCGGCAGTGACGAGCGACAACAACGGCAGCGACGAGCGGCGACAACGGCAACGACGACAGCGGCAGCGGCGACAGCTGCAGCAACAGCGGCGAGCAGCGGGAGCGGGAGCAAGAGCAGGAGCGGCGAGCAACGGGAGGCGTGAGCGGCGACAACGGCAGCGTTTGCGAGCAGCGATAGTGGCGACAGCAGCGACAGCGGCGAGCAGCGGGATCAAGAGCAGCAGCGACGTGGGTTAGGGTTCGGTTGTCACTTATAGCAATTTTAGTTGGTTCGATTGAACCAACTAACCATCGGAGACCGAACCAGGACCGAACCAGAGCTAAAATCCTGGTTCGGTCGCCTTGGTTAACCCAGGCGCTCGCCCGAAGCACCTAGCGCCTGGGCTCGGTCGCCTTGGTTAACCCAGGCGCTCACCCGAAGCGCGTCGCCTGGGAGATTAGCGAGGCGCTCGGGCCTCGCCTCGACTCGCCCGAGCACCTTGGCGAGCGCCTTTTTAAATCGCTAGGTAGGATGACAGGATATGGAGGAGAAAATGGCAACAAGAAGACAAGGAGGGGAAGGCAAGTACCAGCAATAGTATGATACCATAGTGCACACCCAGAGCAACCCTCAATCATTTATCTGAAGAAGCACAATAATATCTGAACTTGTGTTTGTTTCTGTGTTTGACATGGTCAAAACCAAAGCTTATTTCAGGTCCCAAAAAGAATTAAAAGTTGCAGCAACTTGACTCTCGGATGTCAAATTAAAATACAACTCTCAAGTTATTGAGAGAAATAGAGGCACAGGGCAGAACTACATATAACTGTCAGCCTAATTGTTGCCTTTTACAATAGATAGAAACTTGTCACTTGTAATGTCAGATCACCAAATTCCTATGCAGCACTTGTACATTTTCCTTCCTGTTATAAGACTCAAAAATGATTATCTTATTGTTTCCAGATAGAAGCCCAAGAAAAACAATGCCACTAGATTGACACTCATCAAACTGAATCATGCCACTTGGATATCATTGCATTGCCTTACGCTTCTCAGAAGATACTGCTTAGGGTACATACATACTGCAGAATTCCCCAGAGATGTCTTGGTCTGACTGCAGTGCATCAATATGCTTGTTAAAGTGATACAGATATGCCAAGTCAAGTATAATGCCATCTTACATGACCACAGACTGCTGTTCAAGACAGCAACAAATGATGATGATATGACAGCAAAAGTCTTTTTCTACAACCTAAAGCTCCATCAGCAGATAAACACATTTTCTAAGATCATTACATGAGACCAACAATAGCAATATCTACTAAATAGCGTACAGACCCATATTCTAATGCAAGGGAACTACTACCCAAACAAACATTAAAAATTGATTCAAAAAGGTCAATCCATTTTGATGTCGAAAATAGAACAAACACATACACTAGTTATATTGAAAAAACTACATTTTCCATATGCGCATTCTTCACATATAAACATGTTTAAACTTTAAACTATGAATTCTGGTACAGAGTTACCGAAAGGAAAAAAAATTGTATCGATGATCCTGATAAAAGTGAGCAAAAAATAGTGTATTAGTTAGGAAGATGAACAATTGGTTCCACAAAAGGTGAGAACTTACTTTCTTAAGCATTCATCATAAAATCCATAAACTTGTGTAATCTGCAATGTGATGCAATAGTATTTAGTTTAGATCTATAAGGAAAAAAAATTAAGACAAAAAAAAAGATATGCTGATATATCTAATCTCCAGTGCAGTCAATTTGATTTGGTTCATTACAAAAAAATATATCAAGCTACAAAAATATAGACCCAATAATGTCAGCAAAAATAAGAAAGAAATGACATGTACCTGACGACTCTCATGATTTCCTCTAAGAATAGTGATTCGCTGAGGATATCGTACCTTGAGGGCCACCAAAAGCTGGTCATACCAATCAACAACATGTTATATACAAGGATGTAAAGTTACATAAACAAATAAACAGAATGTTCTAACAGAAGCAAAGATGTGCATCCCAACTAGAAAATTTTATTCATTTGAGTTCAATACTTAGAAACATGGCACACTGTAACATTCAACTCAGATGGCATAAAATGAATATAGCTTATCAGAGAACTTTGAAGATAAAATTCAAATTTCTGGGATTCTATCCTCATGAAAAACTTAGCTTATACCATGGTCCCAGCACAAGGTCAACCATATGTTCAAGAGCAAGGTCAGTAGATAAATTGCCTCGAACCACAAATTTCTAGAACTTCACAAGAAAACAATATCTTGTTTCAATATGATATTACCATTTAACTTTGCCAGCCACACCATTCAAGGTTAAAAACAAAGTGGCAAACATAGAGCAATTCAAGTACATAAATGCATGTACAGACACAAAAGTAACGCCACAGAGAGGTACCATTGATCACCATGTCATGCAAATCGATGATTAGGATTATATAGAGTAGCATGTAGATATACCTGAAGCGAAGCAACTAAATGATGTATATTAGGAATGCCTGTAATGGAACAATGGCATCATCAAACATGAACATTTATTCCATGTTGGGACACGTACCAGTATTAAAAAAAGAAGAAAATCAACCTAAAAATTAATAGATCTCTACAACACTAGCATCCACCTATTTCAAGTCAATAGCATTAAAGTTTTTTTAACATGTTTTCTACATGCTAAACAACATAAGTTAGACATAGCTGTCCCACACAATAAAAGAAACAACAAGTGATGCCTTTGATCAAATACTAAACTTGGAAGTGGCAACAGGTATATCACAACATTCAGTAGTTCCTATGAGGCACGTATTTTGACACTACATAGCATACATGCACAACAGAAATAGAACACTTGCAGCATCTACAATATTGCATGGAGAGTAGATTGTAAAAACCTTCTAAAGCTAATAAGGAATGCAAAAAACTTGTATTTCCGAAGTAACTGAATTGAATAAGAAGTTTCTATGCCATCTAATGATGCACATCATGGACTACTTATCATCTTCTGTTTGTATTTTAAAAAGTCTTTGCACACGTATATACATATATGGACATGAATCTCTTTGTATATTGTAAAAAATATCTATATTATGTTTACTCTTTTGACCATTAAAACTTTGGTTTTTTGTCAAAGGATGGGTAAAATCTGCACACAGCTTGAATTTTAAAACCTTGGTCCTGATCAAAGTCCTGTACTTGACTGACATCTAAGCAAAATAATCACAAATGTCCCTATCAACCATAAGACATACTTCCAACAAGAGCAAATAAATTTATAACCATATCATCAGCATCAATATCCTGAAATAGATGGGAAGACAACCAACAAATAACAAGAGGACTTAATATTAACTTGAAAAATCAATAAAGAAACTGATTAAACTATTTCAAAGTGAAACAAAACAAGAGATATTTTTTCTTTACTACTCATAACCGTATATCAACAGCTCACTTAAGAAATACCATTAAACCATCAGTTATATCAACCCATAAAAAATTTAAGTTTTTTTATCTTCTTAAATAAAGACCAAATGAGAGTGCCTCTTTACAAATTCATGAGAAAGAATAGTAAAGTCTAATATTATAAAGTTTTAACCTCCTAAGACAAGCAATACATTTTTTTAATTAGACTCCAGGTTACCAGTATATTTGTCATGTATATGCACAACTATATTAATAATATGAGCATAATGAACTGATAATAAGTATATGATAAATTAATGTTGACTCAGGACTATTTTGATTACAAGATATAGAACCATTTCATCAGCATGTACTATATTAAAATGTAGGCCTTCATATCTTAACAGACTAAAAAGTCTGTTGGCTTACAATTGAGAAGTTCATAACTACTTGATATAACCATGGGTTGTTAGTAATATAATTTCCTTTACACTAAGTTGTATTTCCTAAGTTAATACTCTATAGTTTCTAATTTATAACACTCCTGAAGTGCCTCTTAAGCTGCAATTTCAGCCAAATGTTGAGCACACAATTTGCAATTATCTGGAACACAGCATACCCCATCCTCTTGTCAGTACATTGCTCGAATATTATCATTGACACAGTATTGAAGCATATGCTTTGCTATACATACCTTATTTCAGCCCATAACAGAATTTTTGGAGTTAGAAAATAATCCATGATATTTCAATACCTGAAATAACATTTGTATATTATCGATTTCTAGTTAAATCCACTATATTGCAATCGAGATCCCATCTCCTTTGACTCAAAAATAATTACAGCCCATAGCTACAACATCCCATGAAGCTAATTCCAGCTTCAACTCCCTTCATCCTCCACTGAAGAACACCTCATCATTTACAAGGAGCATTGGCAGTGACACTAACAAGAGACCAAAAAGGTCCGAGGTTCCTTCTTGCCCTATAAACACACAAGGAAGATGCTGATGATCTGTTTGGGAGAAAAAGAAAATGTTAACATTCACGAGCGCACCAACAATATCTAACTGATCACTTCTTACAAACAAAATATTGTTTCATATTTTGTGAAATATTTACATTTAACAAATGTAATACCATGTTCTTAGTTCACAAATTAATGCTACAAAGTCCTAATTAATGCCCTGAAGTCAATTTGATATTCATCCATGAACACTGTGCACCCATTTGTTTTTTTAATGTATTGAGAACCTCTCACTACAGTATGTATACTCCTAGTGATTGTTAATCATAAAATAACTATTAGAAAGTTAATTGCCATTCACAGAATAACAATTAGAAAGCTCTTAGTACCATGATGAATGGTACAAAGTCAAGACAAGTAATACTATAAATCAATATAAAGAACATAAATCAACTTGACCCTCTATTATCTCCAGAAGAACTATTGAGAAAATAATCAAAATTCTAGAAACTGACATTGATCAATTAATCTTTCATGTCACTGTAGCATGAATCCTGTGCAATGCATAGGTTGACAGCTAGTTTGAAAAAACTTTATGAACGCGGTCATCTATATATCCAATGCATAATTGGAACAAAGGAAATTTTATGTAATGAGATATTTCAAGAAAAACCACATGGAAAGTTATGGGTAGTAGCACAAGGTAGTTGAAAATTTGTTTACCACTCCATGTCAATAGCTACATACTATACTGACATGGAAGTGACACATGAAATAGGTAAATTTTTTCTTTTTACAACTTGATGAACATGTTCATACTTTCGCCCGATCAACTTGCTTGGCTAAGATAAAGGACATAAGTTCAATAAACTTGCCTTATGCTGGGCTCATGGTTTTAATCAAGGCAAGGTGTCTAAATCAAACCATGTCACGACCCTCAAATAGTCACTGACTCTGTATTCCTTTTGGTCAGAGGAGGTTGAGACTTTGAAATAGTCCAACTAAACAAGGTATTTTCTCATTTTTCTCTCCTTTTCTTTCTTTCTCCTAGTTGCTTTTCTTTACACTTTATTATCCTCAGACATACCCATGCCAACATGGCTATTCTACATACCATACCAACAGCAGTGCCTAGTGCTAGCAGCCAAAGGCATTTCAATGGAAGGGAGATCCTTGATAATACCTACTTTTAACTTGCAATTAAAGCTAACAATATCTCCACATGTGCAATGTACATGGAAATGTAGCGGAAATCATTTCTTTAGTGTTCTTGTTTACAATTCACAGAATATATCTTACCGAGACGAATGCTTAGGATTATATCTACCAATGACAATGACCTTAAGTGCCTAATCCTGAATATATGAATTATGAAGGTTTTCACATTATATCTAGAAATGCATCTATGATGTAACCAACAAAAATCCAAAGCATGGTTTCTCCGACCAAGGACCAGTACCATACAATATAGCTCAGTAACGGTCAATAGTCTTATTTTATGAGATCAAGTGATACATGGTAGTATACCATCCGGTGTTTAGATACCATACTGATCCAACAACTTATCAAAATCAAGATTGAACCTGTATTTAAAACCTTGCTCCAAAGTTTTATTGAAGACAGAAGTCAAGCAAATTTTACTTCTTTGCTACAGGAAGCAACATGTATCAGAGGCATAAATGCCAAAGAACTTACAGAAGGCAACCAAGAACACTTGCTGACAAGCAAAGCACATATATGTAAGCATGCATCATATAAGTGTATGCTTACAAGCATTCTCCATGATTACAAACAAAAATTGCTTTTGATAAAACAACGTATCCAACATCTTAATAAAATCAGAACTGGTTGTCTATGCTAGGTTTGAAAGAAAAAGCTTCCTGCCCTGGAAGCAGTGTAGTCATGCATTCTAATAAGAAAATGGCACAATTTTTGTCTATTAAAGTCAGTACCCCAGATATGTAATGAATTCAAATATTACTTGCAATAACAGCATAACAAATAGTATAGTCTATAGTTGACAGCAAAATAAGAAAGGAGAAATTTTCTTACCGTAACAGTTTCAACAGAATAGTATCCACGATCTACATAATCGCCCATAAATAAGTAATTTGTATCTGGACACTATCAACAATAGAAAGGTATCATCAATCCCACAGCTAGATTTAGAAGCACAACTTGTACTATCTATCCAGATACCTAAATCACATAGTTTCATCATATTTAAAAATAATAGAAGTACATACAAGCAGAGCAGCTAACAAAATGTAGTACCTTCCCTCCAATTCGAAACAGTTCTGCAAGATCATGAAATTGCCCATGAATGTCACCACATATCGTCACAGGACTCTTCACGGGCTGCAATGAAGTAAATTACGTCCGTTAACCTGGCCCAAAAATTATTCATCTATTTCATCAGTGTAAGAATGGGAAGATGCACCTATTTATAGATCAGAAGCTACCAGAAACAAAAGCAATCACATGAAAAGCAAAACTTAAAGGCATACAAGTTGATGATCGAGAGGAAATCACTATCGAGCATGTCTGATGGGTTCAAATCGCATGCTTGAAAATAACATTCATAATTGAATTATAACAGAGATCTGCTAGCAGCAGTTGACTGCCCTCACAAATCTTTTCATTGATCAGGGCTACTTATAGGTTTGCAACCTTGTGCGGTACCTATGAGACAACAGATTGAATGTAGGCCTCCCAAAATGTACTAAAGGCAAGCAAATGTTTCCTCCATATAATTAGATGATGGTTCAATGAAACTAGGGAACTTGTTTCTTACAAAAGTCTACAATGTTTATTTTTATTTCAAGTTAGGTTGAAGCGTAATGAAAAAAATGATAAATTTAATTCCAAGACTTCTTCCAATAAAATATAGGGTAAGTCTTAGTGGACCACATTCAAAAATTCAAGTCACAAAAAAACTTATTTTCTTGTAATGTTAAGCTTATGAACAAAGACCTTCCCCAAATCCCATATTGGCGGGATCCGCATGTGCTAGACCACCAGTTTACTTCTTCAAAGTAGATGAACAAGACATTCAACAAAATAAGGTTATATGTATCACAAAACCAAATAATATTATGGTAGCCAGTGTCTAGCAAACATTATAAAGAAACCAAATCAAAACAGCAAAAGTACCCAATGTGACAGGAAATAAAAATAATCACAGATTAAAGAAGAATAACGCAAGGACTCCCATTAATATAGGCAAGAAATGCCTAATTATTAGCTCCAAATAAGTTAAGAGAACTTTGAACCGAAAGATCTTAAAATCAACTTATTTTAGCAGATAATTGTGAAAAACAAGGCAGCCAAAATATTTGAAGCTAAAATCAGGATTATGAACTTGAAAGCATCTGAAAGGAAAAAAAAAAAGTGGAAAATTTAGAGCTGCCATTTTCTAAAATATTAAATGATGAAGCATTTGAACACACTAAAAGTACATTTCTTTCATAAAGGGACGTAATAAAGGAACAAAAAGGCTAATTTAAATTCTTTGACCCTTAACCATAATTCATCAGCATTCAGCAAGCTAACAAATCAGATACTTTTACTGTCATAACAACTGAACAAACCCGAACCGTATCTTAAGAAGCTATCATGAAAGTTGAAGGTCCTGCCACCGCCAGCCAACAGGCAAAGTGCTCAGACTCCTTTTATCCAGAAATTTATAGAAACAAGAAATCCTGTGATCAATATAAAATTGGTCAATAAGTATGTCTTACCTGAACATTGCTTTCTTCCATCAATACCTCTTTGGCCTTCTCACACAAAACCCTAACCTATATGACAATATTATTATTAGATCTCGAGACAAAGTTCATGATCAAAACCACAATTCTACCAATAACTCATAAAAAAATGCAGAAGTCATAATCAGATGTGTAATGTACAAAACTGAAACAAATTTGTCTTACATATTTATACAATTATTCTTAAGTGTTAGCCACAAGGGACAATAATAGATACAAGAAATTTGCTTCCACAACAGACAAAATAGACAATTAGAAATGCATATAACAAATTTAAGAAAAAACTTTCTTATGGCCATTGCAAGCCAGGGACCACAATTTTGATGTATTTACATGCACATCTAAAGTGCAGGGAGCAGGAAGAAGTTCAGTGAACTAGGAAAACAGTCCATCCTGTAATCTTAAAATATTTTGGGATGTAAAAAACAGCATGACTTCTGAAGGGTCACAATCAAGAAGGTAAGGGAAGACAAAAGAAAAAGGAAAAGGAAAATAAACTTGGTTCTCAATTTAGACAAGTTCCTGCCAGACTCAAGCAGTTGATCAAAAGTTTGGAAGATGCAAAAAAATCAACACATTGATGGTCTAGAACATAAAAGTTGATGCTTAGTTTTTTGTAGAAAGATTGATCTAATCTTACCTATCTTTGCTAATCCATGGGTCATCACAAAACTAAGGCAAGTGTCTTAGCCATCACCACCCACGTCCGCATTTCAGGTTCATGCAAGAGATGCCAACTCTCGATAATCCTTGAGTAACCAATGCAGCAAGAATGCCATCTTTTCTTTATTTCCAATTAATAATTTGAAATTACATATAAGAATTAGCATGCTCATTTATCTGTAGCCTTATACAGGTGTGCCCATCTATTGCATATAGGCATGAGTTCTCTATCTGTAGATATATGTTTCTTCCAATTCATTAGTATGCATTTCCTTTTACAAAACCTCATTCTGAACAGTTTTCTATCTTTAAAAACATTATTAAAGCCAAAAAACCTTATCAATCAGAGTCCTTATTGCATGAATTATGACAATGAACGAAGCACTATAAATTATGTGAGACATAAACCAATTAACTCGATATCATTTCTCACATTTAACAATCTTAAATTTCCTTATACCTTGCAACTGAACAACAAAATAATAACTGAATAAAATACATTATCCCAACAGATCAACCATATGTCTCTCGTATAAATCGTTAGGCGTCTACAAAGGAAAAATAACTTTGATCAGATCCAGCATAGGAAACCAAATGTCCACAGAGAAAAGGCCTAAATTCCTCGGAAATACTACCTATTTCTTTGCAAAACTAGTATTCCTAGATCGTACACTAAGTCCCTAAATTTCTAACAGAAAACACATCAACCGACCCTGATCCGTCGAGATCCACGGGGATTCGACTACCATAACCAGGATCAAACAGCAACCGCCCATAAAATAAGCGTTTAAACACAATCGTACAGCGATCGGATACGTCGAGAAAGAACAACCTCCTGCTCGGAGAGCGGCTTGCACTGCATGAGCTGCTCGATCTGCTCGTCGAGGTTCCCATGGCGGGTGGGCGCCGGCAACGCGTTTGCGCTCATCTTCCTCTCCTCTGCAGCCCGCGGGACGCCACGGGACGCGAAAAAAACCCTAACCCTAGATTTCTTGGTCGCCTCCCGGTTCCAAGGCCCTCCCTTTCCCTCCTTTCCCTTACAGAAATCTTTCCTTCCCTCGAAGGCGAGAAATGGCGGAAGAGCCAAAAAGAAAAAGTAGGGGAAGAAGAGTGAATTAAAAGAGGAGGAAATCAATCGATCCTTCGTCCATTTAATCGTGTCGGGGAGAGGGTTGGAGAACTAAAACTGTGTTCCCCGAATTGTCAAGGGATTAGCTGTATGGGCCTCAAGCAGCATTAGAGTTATGTTATGCGGTGGCAAAATTTCAGTGGTGATTCTTAAACGTCCGTCGCGTGCGTCTTGTCTTTGGATGGTTAATTATCGCGTAGGCTGCTCGGAAGGACATTGCTGAAGAGCTGCGCATGGCGATATTTACAGTTTTGCCATCAGTGGAATGTACGCTTGATGATCTACTACAGCTTCTCCTCTTACAGTCATCTCACCTGAATTAATTAGACATTAAGATCAAAATTGCATCAGTATGAGAGATTGTTCTTTTTGTTAACAATGAACGGTAAGATCATGAAATGCTTAGATTCATGGATGTTTCTACTATAAAAAAAGTTATTTCGACCTTTGTTTATCATCCATGAACAAATATGTGGTGATTGAATGGTAGGATGCTGATACATGTTAACAAAATAGTTAAGTATAAAATATCAATAATGTGCAACAAACTTAGTCATCAGATTTGGTGTATTTTGCTCTTTTTATTCATCGGTAGATTTGACCTAATTTTGTCCTTTATTTGGCATCCATGAACAAACTAGTTCTTAAATAGGGCAAAGATATATTCTCTACTCTTATCTATAAAACTTACCCCAGCGTTTGTATCTGATGATGTCAAACGATACGAGTATCATTGTACTCTCATTTTATCCATTTTATATTGGTCAAAACAGATAGTCTCAAAAGTGGATTCCTTTACAAGTAAACGAGCGACTCAAAGAGAAAATGTCTTGTAGTAGTTAGGGTTAACTACATATTACCCTAGTTAGTTACCTTTAGTGTTTCGATCTCTATACCTTAAAAAGTTATATTGACATCTCTATAGTTATGAAAATGAAATATCTAGATTTATTTGTACTAATGATATCAGTTTTACTAATGGGTAAAAAAATAATTTTAACATTCGACGACGGATGATAGCATCGCGAGCGTCAACGCCAATGCAGTTGCCTAGCTGCCTCTAATGACAATAAGGTATGCTCTCACCACGATATCACATGCCTCCACAAGGAGTGCATCGCTCACCCCTCGCCGATGTAGATGGTGATTGCTGCTCCCCATTCCCCGCTCTTCTACCATCTTATTATCTTAGGAGCAGCACCTTGAAATTCTCAAATCCCTCCCCCACCCATTTGCAGCTAACGATGCCTCTGCACACCCCTTCCTCCCCCCCTCTCCCCCGGTTTGCTCCCACTTAAAACTCTCCACCACGCACAAGAAGTACTCCATCGCCACCCCCGACCCATTCATGGTCGTGTTCGACCTCTACTCCAATAGCCTCCCATATGATGACGATGACATGGACGAGCTCTGGTTAGTGCTTGATGCCACGCCACATAGGATGTAAATTAAAATCCATTGATTTCTTTCTTCCTCCATCTCCAATGCATTCATGAGAAATTGATGATGGAAAAAATAAAAATAATGATCTATTATTGTTCTTCACCGTGTAATTAACGAATCATCTCATCGTTGTTCATTCTACAGCTCACTCAACTACCTGCTAGGAAACAGTGATTATGGTTGACCGCATCCACCTCGTGCAATCGAAACCTACCAGCAGACTGATACCGGACCCTTCGAAGAGCCCTCGCTTCTTCACATCCTCCCCAAACCCATGCAACAATCGGGGAGGTACGTGGTCCAAGTGCCTAGGGACTTGGTCCTCTACATCCCGTCGAAGGGCAACACTAGTTGCGCAAAGGCTTACTTTCACACGATAGACATCGTGCCATAGAGGGTGGTGTTTGTTATCAACCCAATTATTTCAATGGCCTCCCGCACGATGGACACCACCCTCTTTGGCGTGACATCAAGCACTAACCGAAGCTCATCCACGTCATCATCGTCATGCGGGAGGCCAATGGAGTAGAGGGCAAGTGTCGTCATAAATGGGTCAGGGGAGGGCGGCAGAATGCTTCTTGTGCATGGTGGAGAGTTCTGAGTGAGAGCGGATTCGGGGAGGGAGGGGGTGGACAAAGGCATCCTCAACCACAGCAGGGTGAGAGAGGGATTTGGAAATTCTAGGACGCTGTTCCCAGGAGAATGAGATAGCGAATGAGTGGGGGGATGGAGAGCGACCACCACCATACGCATTAGCGCAGCTTTGGTGACGATGAGGTCAACGATGTGCTCCTTATGGAGGCAGGTGGCGTCGTAGTGAGAACGAACCTTATCATTGTGGAGGCGATCAGGCAATTATATTAGCGTTGACACTAGTGACAATGACGTCCATTACCACTAACGTTGTCCACATTCAAATTATCTTTTTATTTTTTATTTTTTATTTTTTGATAAAATTGACTAACAAAATTATCTTTTTACTTTTTATTTTTATGATTTCATTAATAAAATCAACAATGTTAGTATAAATAGATCGGTTACTTTCGTAATTATAAGAATATTAATATAAATTTTAAAATATAAGTATCGAAAAATTAAAAATAAGTACCGAGATAATATGCAATTAACTCCAGTAGTCAGCCCCTCGAGTTACGGTGAGTCCGCATCCATGAACGAGTCGTTAGGGTTCCTTTTCGCGGCTCTCCTCGCCCGGTTCCTTTCCTCCGTTTCTGCCTTCCCTCCCGCAACGCTTTTACCCATCCCGTTCCAGGCTTTCTACTGTCTCTCCTCCACCCAGTTCCTTTCCTCAGTTTTACTGTCTCCGTTTCTCTCTTTCTCAATCTCTCCAGGTATCTGTGTCCCTACCCTTTGCTTTGGTCGCCGAAATATATTGGGTTTTGGTGCTTTTCCTCAGCACATCTGTCTTCCATTGTGTTTTTTCTGTTTGGATCATCTAGGGTTAGGAATATATGATCTAAGGTGGTTGGTAGGTCGAGACTGTTTCCTGAGTTATGCGAACTTCATGGGCTGATTCCGTTGCGAACGCCGAGAGCTCGGCGTGTGCGATCGGTGCTTCTGTAAGCATAAGCAACACTGGCAACACCAACGCCACTGCTGCTGTGGTCATTGCCGCCCCTCGCCCTGCTCGCGCTGCCTACGTCCTTCCAACGGTGTGCAGTCTTCCGAACTCCCAGCGCCAGCCCCTGTCTATGGTCCTTCTGCAGCTAAATTACCATCTGGGCCTAGAGCGCCTTCTGGAGGAGACCGAGGGGGTGGCGGCTCTACTCGAGATGCAGCACGCCCTGGCTTTGCTGGCGGCCTGGGTGGAGGAGGTGGTTGGGGCTCAAGGATCGTTGGGTGGGATCGGAGGAAGCGTGAGAAGAACCCTTTCGCAGATGATGAAGAAACCACTGAAGTCGCGTTTGATGGTCAGGAGACTACTGGCATAAATTTTAATCCATATGAAGGCATACCTATGGTGGTGAGCGGTGAGACTGTGACTCCGCCGGTGAGCACATTTGCTGAGATTGATTTGGGGGATGAAAACACACCTGTGGAGGTGAGCCATGTTATTCCCATCTTGCTAGCTGGACGAGACCTGATGGTCTGTGCTCAGACTGGGTCAGGAAAGGCAGCAGCTTTCTGCTTTCCAAATTATTAGTGGGATCATAAGGGGACCACCTTCACAGTGGCAGCGGGGCTCGAGGGCAGTGTATCCTCCTGCGCTTATCTTGTCACCTACCCGTGAGCTCTCGGTTCAAGTATGCATTCTTTTTTTTCTTGAACCTTGTTTGGAATGTGTTAACAGTTTATTTAGTTAACGATTGTTACAGAATTTGTTTTTTGGGTATGAGATTACTTATTGCATTATTAATAATTGATCTTTTCATTTAACTTTTTTCCTCGGATCAATTGATTTCAGAAGTTTTTACAGTTATTATGGATATTATTTCAATCGCAATTGGTATCTTCCTATAAGGGTGTGTTTGTTTGCATGTCTACATAATACTGTTTTCTTTTGAGAAATTTCTTTCTGGTTTTTATCCGATAGGAAAACTATAAAAAATCATGCAAATTGTTTCTCATATTTTGAGGACAGGTTAACCTTTCTTTCAGATTCTTTATTTGAAAAATGAGAATAAATCATCTCCAATTTCCAAGAAAAAGAAAAAAAAAAAGTTGCCCTGCATTCGAAACACGACAAAGTAAAGGAAAGACATCTTCATTTTATTTGCTTATGGTCCAAGCAACTTACTTTGATTTTTCATGATAGAGTTTTCACTAGAAAATTTTAGTCACTATCAATGCTCATCTTAAGCTCAGATAAAAAAAGTGAAGGATTGCATTAGGTCACTAACAATCAAAGTAAAATAATATCAGATCTTATTAATAGTCTTCATTATAAAATTTCTTTTCTCCTTTTTCTTACAAATAAATAGATTATAGAAAAGGGAGCCAAAATATACATGTAATGCTATATTTTATTTCTTTGGATAGTCCAGATGTTGATAATTTACAAGATAGAACCACTTTCCTAAAGTCTGACTGGCCAGTCGCAAAAATTATCCTGAAGTTGTTGAAGCACAAGAAGAAGAGCAAAAGACAATTGATCAAAAGAGAAGTTGGTAAACTTTTGCATTATTAATTTGGATTATCTGTTAGGTCTTTTTAACACCCATCATCCATCTAAAAAGTCTTAGTCAAATCATCAACTTCTTGTACTTCTTTATCTGTTGTTCTCTACCATTTATTATTGCATTAATTTCTTCAAAATAAATTAATGATACTGTATATGAGCTTTATATGTAGATTTCCTTGTATGCAACTAATATAACTTATTCTGTGTTGGTTTCTGTTATTGACATCTTAGATACATGAGGAGGCTAGGAAGTTCTCCTACCAGACTTGTGGATCCCCAATCAATTAGCAGGTTCTTCTTTTCTCATTTTTAGTTCATTTGACTTTGAATCCCCTATTCCTAACGAATGCCTTTTGTGGAAGCCCGTTGTTTTTTCTGTGTTATTTTATGCAAAGTTTAGTAATTCTAAATGATATGTTTTCTATATTTTTCATGTCCCCATCTAAATGTTGAAGAAATTTAA